TGCTGCTGTCATTGAAAAGATATAAATAAAAGTTTCCAAAGGTTATCCTAGGTCAGGGGTCGGCAACCTGTTCCCATCAAAGAGCCATTATTACCCGTTTCCCACAGTAAAGAAAACACTGGGAGCCACAGCAACTGCGGCGTTGTGGGCGGGGCCTACCCTCAGACATCTGAGAGCTGCTTTAACCAATCACAACAGGTGACAGCAGCCAGTACCGGTCGCTCGTGTACGTCAGTTATCTTTCATAAGATGATAATCAATAAAACGATTTATATAAAATGGATCCAGAAGTTGTAGCCCGTCTCTGCCTACAATATTTTGATATTTTTCACCCTGTTGGTGGTTTTACTGAGCAGGTGCCCCTTTTGTCGTACATTTCTTTTTAAAACATGTTTAGACTGTTCAGAATACAAATCCAGGCTCTGTCACGTTTGATTGTTGTAATTAAACTCTGTAGGTGGGGAAGGTCAGAAAAGGATCCGTTCATTTTGTTTTCCCTCATTTTCAGTGACGGAGACAATGGCGCAGTGCTCCTGGCTCTGGTGTTAATCAAGTTAAATTATATCTCTTTGTAAAAATTTTCACAAGCAAACAGAACAGTTAAAAGCAGGGCTTGTGTTGTGTTGACCGGACAGTTCCCGTATTTGACCGTTTATTTTGAAGGAGAAAGAATAGAAAGAATTACCCCGACGCATGCAGACGAACTGACATTTTATTCGTTATGCACATCGCAGATGTAGCTAAATCACTCAAGAAATGATTCCCATCTGAACATCTGAGCTGGACACTGCTCAGCGCAGCTCACTGTCAGCGTGTACGTAAGGTGCACAGCGAGCTGAAGATGTGGAGAGGGGCTTGGAGCGCGTCGCAGAACCAGAGCGCATGCGGGAAGATTCCTCCGACTGAAGCGAGCGTTTTCCAAACCCTGTCTCTCAGAGAGACTTGTCACTTAGAAAATGTTCCCTGATTATGAAACTTTGGATGAATAGTGCTTGTTCCTGTCTCCAATGTGGCGACACATCCAGGAGCCGTCTGAGGAGAATCCCAGAATCTCACATCCTCTTCAGCTCAGAATGCGCCGATATGATTACGCACAAGTGTGACCCGTCAACCCGGTCTCACAGACAGACTGGGTTGGGTCTGTTCAGGTTTACGCAGACAATCTTTACATAGAATTGACTTTCAGATATAAAATTAATTCAGTAAAATATAAAGCATTTTATTTAAATATCAATTCCTTATTTTACAAGCGAGCCGCATCAGATGGATGGAAGAGCCGCGTGTTGCCGACCCCCGAGCTAGGTCAAACCCCCTTTCAAACACCAGTGTTTGCCTGCAGTCACACACCTGGCATGAATGAGTGAGGCATCTGCATGGTAATTCAAATTGAATTTGAATGAAAGCAACTGGACTTCTTTGGTTTCATGAATATAGGAGGGTCGATCTTATTGTAGTTGTCTATTGTTGTTTGACAAGCAGAAACTGTCACCTGCAAAACACCTCCTCCCCACCTCCTCATGGTTCGTTTGCATCGTTATCCTCTTTTGTGTGGGAGTCGTTGTGTTGATTAGATGCAGAAAGGTGTGATGTTATGTTACTTTCTTGTAAATATGTATATAGTATTTCTTCTTCATTACATTGTTCTTCATATTATTGCTATATTATTATTATATTGCAGTAGGTACCTAAGTGAAGTTGTGCCCCCCCCATTCAAATCTAACTAAATTGGTGTCTAACATTTGAGCTGGTTTGTGCTGCAATATAATAATAATAATAATAATAATAATAATAATAATAATAATAATAATATATCAATAATATGAAAAAAAGTAATAACTATAACTGTGACACTGGAACAAAGAAGAACTATATACATATTCACAAGTTTTCTTCTAGTTACACAGCAATGTAACATCTGTATATTATACAGCAAATGCTTCAATTTTTTCAATCTTAACCAAAATATGAAGTAATGTGTTTGTACCCTGGAGTCTGTGGTGAAGTGATGACTCTCAAAGTGTTCACTGCACAAGCGGGAGTGTGAATTGGGAGTCCAGCACTCTCTTCTTTGGTTTCTTACCCAAAGGTCAAGCCTCTCTGGATCACATAGAGACAAACTTAATACAAAGAACTACTTAAGCATATGGGTTTAAAATACTTAATAGCTTATCATGGTCTGTAATAAAAAGTCTAAAATTAGGAAAAAGAGTAATACAAAATGCATACTTTATAAAAAAAACAAGATAAAACGAACCACTTGAGTCTACCGCCTTATTGGATAGGAAATGAACCTTTTAATAATCAATTTTATTAACTAATTTTCATTTTATTAAACTGCACTAGTTCCCATGAGAACAGGGCACCTGGTCGTGGCTCTTTGTGGACAAATTAGTTATTTAGTCGCTCCCCACCACCACTATTTTACAAATATGCAAAAAATAAAAAAACGAGCGAGTTTATCTGATGGCATACAGACTTCTGGAGACTAACATTAAGCACTATCAACCACCTCACCGAGCTGCAGGATTTCTGTGGTCAGGTCTCTCTCCGGGTCCGCTCCACAAGCGGTCAGCCCACACAGCAGCCAGGTGCCGAAGCGGTCAGAGATGCGCCGGGCTGACCACTGGGGAGAACGGGGTGGAAGAAGGGAACACAGAAGTGTCCCTCCGAGAGCTCCGACATATTTCAACCCATTTTTATGTTAAATGCACTGGGTTTTAGGTTTTACCATGGTTTTACCCATCGACATATACCCTATTAATTATTTTACCGTATATTACATCTAAATTTCATGGTTAAACAGTACATGTTAAAATGGTAGTTAGCTAGCTACTTTGATAAGCTCAGCTAGTGCAAAAGCGACAGTGACCTAAAATACATAAATATAATTTTACTTACCGGAAAAAATTAAGTGGAGACTCCTTGGATGCTCTATTAGTGCAATTAATACCACAGCAAGTCATTTTGTCCTACAATTGCACAAATAATATCCAAAAAAGAATACACAAACGCTACAACTACTGGTCTAATTTCAGAGACAAAAAAATCGCGTAACAGTTTTCAGGCGAGACCGAGGCTCTACTGAGGCCTTTCCACGGAGCTAGCTTTGTGGTCACGTGGGTCTGATGCTCATTAATTATACAGAATTTTAGGCTTTTAATACACTTAAACAGAAGAGTGAGAAAAAATTCACCCCCCTCAGAGTTGTCATGAGTGTAAACTAGATCATTTAAACAAAAACATGTTTTGGTACCAAGCTGTAAACATGTTTATTTCTGCTGTGAAATTTTTAACATTTGAGTCAATGAGGATTTGCTCGTTTCTGACACCAGCCCCTAGTGGATGAGGGTGGAACTGCAATTTATTTCACTTCCACGTTGGCTTCAATTTTTGACCCGCATTGTGGGGGCTTGCATCGGATGCGTTCCCCAGGCTGTCAACAAAGCCGGCCGCCTGAGAGACAGAGGGCAGCCACTTCTTTTCACCATTCTGGAGAGTAATGCGCAGCTTCGCGGGGAAGATGAGAGATAGCCCAAGTCCTTTTTTGTAGAGCACAGCCATTACATCTTTATATTCGGCCCTTTGCTTCAGAACTTCATCTGACTATGAAACCTTTTATAAGAAATTCAATTAAGTCATAAGAACCAGAAGAAAGGGCTACGGCTCCACTTTTCCATTCCACTCCCTACATTTCTGGCTGACCAGCAGGGCCGGAGTGGGACACATTTTCAGCCCTGGAGTTTCAGACCCCAGACCGGCCCACTTAACGAATTATTATTAAAATCATGTTAGAACTTTATATGTATAGTCTACAAAAGCACACTACTCGGTAAAGCCTTGTAATTCAGTGCAAGAAAGAGTTGCTTTACAATGTAGGTTTATTTGAACATCAGTGCACATCTCCAACATTGTTCTTTACAACACATTCTCTAACAATATAACAATCCACCTTCTGTTCAAACAGCTGTTCTGAGATTTTCAAACCTTTAAAATGAAATGACTCAGCACTCCCTTTCACACTTTTTCCAGTTTCCCTAGACTCGCCTGCACACAATTAAAATAATCATCTGTAAAGCTTTAGCACATTTGATATGGAAAACACATTTTTTGTAACCAATTAAAATATTTTCTATGGCAAAATATGCAGGCTTAGTTAATTTTACTTTCATTCTAATAGCGATCTGTTGTGGGCTTTGTGCATTTACTAACAGAAATACATCAGGTCACTACTATTATTTGGACATTAAAATTATTATAATGAAACTGATGTTTGCTTGTTTGCGCATGAGTTGGCTCACTTTCTATCCCAACAGGAGCAATACCCTCACTGCTGGCTCCTGGCTCTTCTTCTGACACTACATTGTGTGAAAATGGTCACAATTCAGCATTCATTTTCCTTTTTTACACGCTTTCTGATCAATGCTGAATCATCCAGCATTTTAGAACACTTATAGAGCCAGGATAGTTTTCATCATATAAATTTTAATAATATTCAGTTCACTGACTCAATAAGTAATCCTACCTGTACATGCCCGCTCTGGAATGGTGGGTTTCTGCCTGGTGCTTATTAGGCCTACTGGATCTTGTGTTTGACTCTGACAAGACAGTTTGGTGGCATCAGTCACATCATACTGTAAATTATATAACATAACGTTATGTCATGATGCCATATAATTCATTATTGATGCTTAATTAACTTGAATGGTGATTTGCAGCCGGTAAAGTTTAACATCTTGACTTGCCTTACCCGTTTTATCTTCATTTGAAGTTAAAGACCGCGAGCTTGTTTGAGAAAAAAAGGTGCTCATTTTTGCACATTTAGCTGCATCCAGGGCCAGATTAAGACTTCGTTGTACCCTGGGCAACAATATTCAAGGGCCCCATCATCACGACCCAAGGATCACCATAATATGGTCACATACAGAATATTTTACTGAAAAATGCAGTAAATATAATGCTTGAATGCCTGATGTCACGTAACCCGCTCAGGGTAACCTTTGACCCACCTTGTGTGGACTGACCAATGAGGAGAGGGTCTTAACTTGAGGCCCTCTCTTCATTGGTCAGTCTGCATGAGACTGACTCTCAACTGACGTTCAGTCATAGACAGCGAAGCGTCTCTGTGCAGCGCAAAAGCCCGGGTGGACAGTTTGTTTAATACAGGGTGATCATATTTCCATTTCCAAACAAGAGGACAGGGGATCTGTGCCTATGTCGTCAAACTATGGCAACGCCACACAAACCACGCTGGGACCCATTTTTTTGTAAGAACTAAATTAATATCAGATTCTGCCAATTAAAGGGCTCTAAAACAATTCATATGTAAATATTTAGCATATGTATTGCAAAATCTCATTTTTCTGCTTTAGTGCTGCAACAAGGTTTTATTAATAATAAATTATTATACCTTTTGTTTTACTACAGCATCGGTAAGCTTCCTGTGCACAGATTATTAAGGATGCTTGTTTCAGCTGTGAGATTAGACGATAGGATCAATGAAAAAATAAGTTGTCACACACTCCATGGAAACTTTCAGAGAATCCACAAATAGTGGCTTTCACATGGTTTTGTTACTTTTTGCAAGTTTAGAAAAGAAGCAGATGAGACAGCATGTCTGATAATTTAGTTTTTCATCTGATAATATTAGAACATGTCAGTAATGTCTGAGGAGCTTTTATAAACACCATATAACTAACACTACTGGAGAGGGTAACAATTACACAGAGGCTTCTGGGGAGCCCAGTTATGGGGGGGGGGGGGCATTTTGCCTTGGCCCCCAAAATGTCTTGACACGGCCCTGGGTGTGTGACTGAGTTTTGAAGGTGATCTGAATTGTATCAGATGTGTAAATATTACATGTGTATAACTTATTGTTTTATACAGGTAAAAACGTGTAGTGGAGATAAATCTACCTACATTTTACTTTTCCACACTTAGTTTTGTTTTCTTGTTTTTATTTAACTATTTTCCTGTCCTGTCTGTCTCTCATCTTCCTGCATCTCCTCTAAACTCTCCAGAAAATCTGTTGCCTGGATTCTTACTTTTTCACCTCATCAGTTACTTCTGAGCAGATCAAAGGGATCTCCTGACCGCAAAGCGGAGTGCGCCTTTCGATGCGTCAGTGAGGTGAAATCACCGCAGCACAGGCGATGAGCTGCGCAGCAGCAGAGCGCTTCAGGCACAAATAAGACAGAAAATAGAGAATATGTGCGGACATGAACGATCGTGTGCTAATTATAGTTTTTTGGTTGCGCCACTTTGAGAATGGACCGTGCGCTGGAAGCAGCTGCCTGGAGCGCTGCGCAAGAACGCGCTGTGCCGCTCTCTGTGCTCTCTGCTCAGAAGAGTCCATAAATGATGTAATATAGGTAGAAAACTTGTTTCCGGCTCCCCTTGATTAAGATATACAGCTCCCCCACAATTCGATCCCTGCTCCTGGATGAAAAGCCGGACATTTTCATCAATACGACCGCGGACCCCCAGTCCGGACGCCCGGACAGAGAGTGAAAAGTGGACATGTCCGGGGAAAACCGGACATACGGTCACCCTAGTTTAATATAATGCGGGAGATTACAGACATGCCTACAGTATTTTGCTCGTGCGCTTGCTGCCCCCTGGGCCAGAGTTCGTGGGCCCTGGTCAATTGCCCAGTTGCCCATATGGTTAATCCGGCCTTGGCTGCATCTGTTTCCAACGCTTTCCTCTTTTTAATTCTTGCCTTTTCCGCGCCACCCTTGCTCTTTCTACTTTCCATCTTTCCGTCAACTGCGTGGTCACGTGGTGCGCACAGGCGCATACGGGGGAAAATAACGAGCTGCAGCCTGCAGGTAGAGCCAGCCAGAGACAGCCGGGAGGAGCGTATGTGATCAGCCCGGCGGCCTCAGTGCCATGACTGAACACCGGCACCAAAAAATAAAAATAAAATGATAAAAAACAAAAACGAGAGCACCGGCCCCATGCGGCCCAAACATCGCGCGGCCCACCGGGAATTCTCCAGACCCTCCCGATTAGCCACTCCGGGCCTGCTGACCAGGTCCAGGTCCTCAACAATAATCAGATCTGTAACGTACCGCAGACCCAAGACGTTTACTGGAATGGTCAACCAAGAGATTCGCTTTGGAATTTTTGCCTCCTCTTCAATCTTATCAAATTTGTCACAATTTGGCTATGCAATGTGCTATAAAATCAATACCTGCAACGGTGCATATCTGAAAGAATACCCAGTGCTTGGAAAATTTGAGCAAGAGGTGCTCATCCCCCCATACGAGAAGTTCAGGATAACCAAGAAATATGAAACTAAGGAGTGCAAATCTGCAGAAAACCTCTCTGACTGTGAGATTGGTTATGTTCTGGAGAGTACAGGGGTTCTGAGTAATCTTGACTGCCAGCTGACAAAATGCATTATCATCTAACCGCGTTTTACCTAAAGCCTATAATGTCGTGTGCCGCACAGCCTGAATGTTTATCTGTTTAACTTGCAAAGGATAAAGTTTCCAAATCTTACAGAAGTCACAAAGATATGAGTCATTTTATGAGTTCAATAAATCAGTGTATTGTTTTCTTTGATACGTGGAATTGCCAAAACATTTTATAATATGAAATATACAGCAATCTGCATAAGCAGGTGACATTTAAACAAAAGTTCTAAGTAGTCATTAAATTCTCTCTTCTTCATTTTTGTCCAATACAAATCCAACAAGTACGTGCGTTATCTGTAAAATTTAAAGTAATGGGTCTATGAAGCATGACTGGAAAAGTGAAATTATAGCTTATTGGTAGCTACTGATATTGATTCATGCAATGTGAGACATGCACTATAAAAATATTAATTTAAAATTAGATAGAAAATCGATAAAACCATGTTTGCTTGAAATATTCCTTTGTGCTTGGTGCAGAGAAACTTCACTTTTCCTGTGATTTAACCATTTTAAATATTAAAAACATAATAATTCAAATATTAACTGCAGGATTGAGGTTATAAGTAGTTATTATAGTCACTGACCATGTGTCAAACGGTCTGAAAAACTCTTTTAACCTTCAAAGTTTTATGTTCTAAAAATAGCAAAAAATAATAATGCAAAAAGGATGAAGAAATAAGAATCTGAGTTAAACAAACAAGAACTAATTCTTTAGGAAGCCTTTAAAGAGAAAAATGAACTGAAAGTAAAGTTTACCACTACATGTGATTAGCAGGTTGGCAGGTGTGCATGGTATTTTAAATGCTGGGGCACACGTTTTGCTAATTTTCACACCTTCCAAAATGCAGTCAATGCTCTTCACCCAAAATAATGCCACAGGAAATGACATTTTGAAGGGGGGGGGGGGGGGGGGGGCGTCAGTTTACCAAAATGTTCTTTTAGCATAATGCTAAATGTTCAACCTTGTAGTGAGCTACTCAACATGATCATTTGGATTTATTTAACACCACCTGTAATCTCATCCAAATCTCCTAAAGCCAGGGGTACACTGTGCGACTTTTTCACCTTTTTGAGGAGATTTTCCACTCGTGCGAGAATCCACAAGATCGGGGCGAGTTTTGCGCTGAGCATCTAGGGTACAGGGGGTTACGAGAGGCAATTAACACCACGTGACCAGCTACCGATCAGCAATCGTGAGCTCGCATGGACTTCTGGCATGTTTGATATTTTGCTCGTCCCTCATGAGGGTATCGCACTGTTGAAGCGGCGCTGCATGCAGCTGCGACCCATAAAGTATCAGAACCGCTCACGGTGCATGCGCAATCATGCATCAACACCGCTCGCCCGCTATTTTCCTAATAACACGTGTTGTTCTATTTTTATTTCTACACTTTTTATTGTCAAGAAAGTGTGTTTGTCGTGTTCATGTCAATTTAAACTGATCACAAAACACAGATTTACTTTCTTTATTTCGTTTTCCTCATCCAACCCCCATAAATCCCTGTGTGTCCCCCTGCAGCACTCCCGAACCGCCTTTTTAAAGCATATTTTTAGGACCGACGTGTTGCTACCAGATACACATTGTGAGCAGTCGCATCCGAGAACTGGGTCGTACAGTGTGAGCACATGGCTCGTGAGATCTGCCCTGCAAGGAAGTCGAACAGTTTGAGCTGAAGCGGAGTGCTACGAGTGAAAAAGCCGTACAGTGTCCGCCCAGCTTTAGACACCCTGAACAGTAGCTCATTATTCTACAGCATAACAAATGCATTTATTAGTACTTATGTCAATACTTGGGATCAGTAAGTAATTATAAATGCATGTGTTTGTACATTTTTGCTGATACAAATGCATTGCCTATAAATTGATGACCAAATCCTTATTACTGAAAGTTTTGCTATAGCTGTTAATGCATTAAAGGCACATTTGGCAGTTTAGCTTGCTTTTAGCATCCCCTAGTGTCCATTGTTAATTATATGTGGTTTAACCCTTTGATGCATAATGGTCACTACATTGGACAGGTACTCATAATTTTTATTTTTATTTTTTTGCCATTAAGCACAGCCGTTGAAGACTTTATTGCATTTGAGCCCCTCCATTTGGACTTCAGTAAGTCAAGCCAACATATTTCATGTTCAGAATGCACGCTGTCCACTGAAGTGGACATGTAATAAATTATTTGTTAATTATTAAATGTTACAAAAAATGTTTGTTGATATTTGTTTCATTCACATCTAAAGATGAAAGAACTAAAAAAAAATCATGGTTGAAGATTTCATAATTTGTGCATCAAAGGGTTAAAATGAAAATGAAACCTATCCCCTTGCTGTGCCTTCGTCTATTTAACACATTAATCTAACAGCTGAAATGCCTCCCTAGCCTCCCTTAGTGTCTACAAGAGTGCTTTATCACTAAATTAAACAAATCTGTTTTCATGATCTAGAACATGCAGGATGCATGTTGGAACCAGACTGCAGCGCCAGGTATGTCCGCTCATTTTTTTTCTAAGTCCCAACAGATTGGCCCGCCAGTCTGAAGTTGCAAGTGCGGTATTCTGAAATGAAAATTTACACAGTATGGCTTTAAAATTGACAAAATTCAAAAAATACATAATAGGATGTAGTTTGTTGTCAAACAAGTTAAAAAATACAAACTTTTGTAATTTACAGTGTAATTAGCTGCACAGATACACGAACAAACAAATACGTGAAGTATGTTTTCAGTTGCTTCTCCACGATGGTGTATATTAATCCTATAACTGCTGTGATTGACATAGAACTTTGCATTTTGTATAAGAGTTATAAATAAAAGCAGTTAAACCCAAATCTGAAAGGGGAAAACATACATGCATATTTTAATTCAAAATCATGGTAAATGGTAAATATTGCATTAGTTACATATTGTAGTACATTGTTTATTAAATTAGCCTGAAAACAAAAACATGACAAAAAACAAGACATTGTCATAACATCCCAAAATTGTGAAATAAAAATACAGAATGTAAATATACTGTTGTAATTTTTATGTATAAAGTTTGTCTCTGTGTAATAAAAAATAAAATATAAATCTAATTTGTAACAATCGGTTTCCATAATAGCCATCATTGTGAGCAGGGATTTTCCAGCTAAAGCTTAGCGTAGCAAGTTAAATAACAGTTAACTGTGTGGAGTCACCTGTTGAAATTTAGTCAGATATTATTATTGCATCAGTAGCATAACAGTGCAGTGTATCAGAGCATGTACATAAGTAGCTGCATGACAAGGCACATGGAAATAATGCAAAGTGTAGTTCTGCTGCAAAGCTAAAGACTATTTTTCCCTTTTGTCCCTATAAATAACAGAAAATATACATTATTATACCATTATGCCTCCATGCTGTACACCCTCTAACTTCAACTCTATTTTTATATTATTATTAATGGAAATTGTTAGTATACAGGGTCATTTATTATTCAGCATAGCTATGCATTTTTCACTTTGTCATCATAAGAGCCGCTGCCCTTGTAAGCTGCCACATATCCGCTGCTGTCTGGGATGTCCTCACGTCCAGCCTTTCCTTTGCCTTTGCCAGACTCATCAAAGCGCTCCTTGTGTGAACCTGTGTACTTGGCTGTGTCAGTCAGCCGATCCACTGCTGCCGCCTTTGCTACTTTCTAAAATCAAAGAAAAGTAAGATTAGAATCAAGATCTCATGAGCAGGTATTGACTCCATAATCAATTTGTTCTACAGACAGTAGTCAGGTTTCAGGCTTGGACTGAAACTACTGGTGCATTACTGGGTTTTGGATTAAACTCTGAAGATTAATGGTGTGTAATCCTCTCATTATCCTCAATACTTTTTATAAATGTGGCCAACCATCACCATCCTGGACACACTCTTCGTAAATGCTTGTTCTGCAAAATATTCTGATGTTTGCAGATGACACTGCTATTATTGTTGATCTCCAACAACAATTAATGTTGATTTCCAACAACAATTAGTCTATGTACAAGAGGGAGGTAGAGGAGCTTGCTGATTGACAAAAGGCTAATAATCTTGGCCATTACTGTTTCAAAGATGAATGAGGTGGTGGAGAGCTTGACATTTTCCACTCCTCATCATCAAAGAAGCTGTAGAGCTGATGATCTCAGCCAAATAGAGCAAAACACTCGAGCCTACAAATGTGTTGGTCTAATTTGTAGACACAACCTCTTTCTAGACAGCAGGATTTTATTTTTTTATTTTTTGCTTGGGGCACCAAGAAACCCTTTCAGTGCTACTGGGAACTGTTCTGAGGCTAAATAAGAATTACAAAGGGTGGTCAGATTACAATCCAACCACCCTTCCTTCAGTCAGTAATTTGAGCAGCCCCAAAACCCATCCATCAAGGCTGAGATACAATCTCTTTCATTAAGTCTGACCTTTAAGTTGTGGACTGTTCTTTGTTTACTACCGTATGGTGTTTATTATAGACATTGTGGTTGTTTATTTATTTGGCTGGCCTAAAAGCCTGATTTATTCTTCTCCGTCTGCGTCGGTACGGAGACACGCAACACCATTATACGTCAACTCAAGGGCTCTCTGATAGGCTCACAGAGGGTGACGGAAACGTGCCCAAATTTTTAAACATCCATAGAAAGTGACGGAGACTGCAAGCTTGTGATTGGTCAGGTCACCGCTTCCTGTAAATTCATCAACAGCACTGCCATTGCCCATCAAAAAGTAAAGATATTTAGCGGCACACAGGGAGCAGATTGAAGAACGCATCGAGAAAAAAGTCCAAAAATATGAACGTTTATTCACTCATGACTGAAGGAGAACAACGACACGGAGTAAATTTTTAATCGTGGATGGAAATGATGGGAAATGTGGGTTTAGAGCATGGTTTAGAGGTGGCGACGGCATGAAGAGGTGGAGAAGAACCAAGGACAAATTCATCCGTGTTATAAAGTCTCTGAAATATATAAACACATTAGTAAATACACTATCGTGGACCAGATACATGAGCGTTATGGTGGCAGGATATCCCAGAAAAGTTGTTGTCCTGGCGAGGGATTGCTTTGCAAAACTCCCCAGGTGAAGGAGAAGTCCGAGGGCCTAATGTCTCAATACATGTGCATCTCTCCTTTGCGGAGCTGACATAGTGGTATAAATCAGGCTTTAGTAACACATTTTGGTCTCAAATGTCACTAGCATGTTGCTGGATGAAATCTATGAATCAGAATCTGAAATCTGAAGAGTTTGGTAAACTTAAACATTGGAGTTGCACCGTCTGCTGGTCTAACCTTGCATTAAACTGTGATAGATGTTAGTTTTCTCTCATTAATTAGATCCTATCAGAGTAAAAGTCACAGAGATTTACTTTATGAACAGACAAATGTGTTTTTTTTTTTGTTGCCTTCAATCAAAATTCTTCTTATCCCAGCCACATTAAGTCGTTTTGGGAATTTTGCTATTGCTTCAATCAGTAATGGGTTCAAGTTATTTCTCAACTTGCTTGATTTAAGTCATGGAGCAGTGCCCTTTTTATGAAATAGCTTCTTGATTCAACAAAACAACAGGAAATTGAAGGTTCAAAAGTGAGTAAAAGGAAGTCGGGCCTTTTTCTATCTGGACTTATGCTTCCAACCCTTTTTTTTTTCATTTAAATATGAACACAATTGAACTAAAGTCAGAAATTGATCACGTGCAGTGCTTTGGTGCAGCAGTAAAAAGAGTCAGAATGAAAAGCCATAACTCACTGTAATGCCAGCATTGGTGGGTTCCTTCCCAACAATGAGACCGTAGATCAGCTGAAGTGCCTCGTCTTTGCTCTTGCCTTTAAAACGCTTCACAGACAGCTCAGTGATGGCCTGGATGAACTGTTCAAATGTGATTACACGAGCCGACTTTGCCCTTAAAACACAAAGAAAAATGTTCTTTACACTTTTCCTCTTTCAGATCATGAAATACAAGAAATAATCAAACAGATGCATTTCAAAGCTTTTTATGTAAGTGTAGCTTTTTTATATTAAACCTATTTTAGTTGTGATAAGGTTGAAGCATGATTTCAAGTCTTACTTGACTTTGCTGAAAACAATATCAACATCCGTGGTGGTGACATTCTTTCCATCGATGATGTGGCAGTCTTTGCAAAGTTTAGCAAAGTTTTTACCGTTCATCTCCTTTCCCGTGGCTTTGGTGTCTCCATGGATGGCGAACTTATGAAAGGAGGTTTCCACCTCTGCTATGGTCACTGAACCTTCAGCCATGCTAACACACACACACACACACACACACCCACACACACACACACACACACACACACACACACACACACACACACACACACACACACATCTTCTGGTCAGTTAACCCAAAACAAATCAACAATACTAATAAAATACTGCAATAAACATTAATAGGATTAGTATTAATTTTATGAAACAATAAAGTTTTCCTCGTGCAAATGTCATGGCTTATTTCCATAAATTATTAAAGAGACCATCAAATAAAATAAAGTGGCCTTAAAGTTCATTTGTTTGTTCACTCAGCTTTTTCACAGGCAATTTGTGAAATGGAATTTTTTCAACTAATTCATCAGGACTCTATTAGTCAATTAGCTTCCAGCTGGCCAAAAAACTGACTTCCATATTGGCTTACTTTTCTCTATCCCAAACGCACACACACACACATACATACACACACACACACACACACACACACACACACACACATGCACACACACACACATACACACACACTAACACATTTGCTGCTCTCGAGCCAATTTAATCCAATCAAGCCGATTTCCGAATGGCTCCTCTTCTCGAGGGACTGGACGGACATGTTCAGAATTGCAATCCTTCTGTTCTTTCTTATTGATCCGTCATTTTGTCTAAATATACATAAACTTATTAGAATGAACAATCTGGAAGGCTGGAAATGAAACAGATGGATTTAAAAACAGCATTATTCATGAGTGAATTTTAATTTGGACTGTCTTTCTAAAAGATTAATCAATTTAATCATTAATCAGATGCACTGGTAGCTTTGTGTAATAAACCTGTTTTATTTCCAGATGACCAAAAATAACCATAAAACAAGTAGCTATAATACGTTAGGGTGATACATCTCTAAGATATTTCTTTTACTAAAAGTAAACATTAATTACATCACGGTGTATAAACACGCAGCATAACAACTGGATCTAAACATGGTCTTGTGCCATCAAGCTGATTCCCATTCCCCTTTTTCCTTCCTGCATGGAACAATTCATCTGGTACAATGCTTGAATCGGGGAGACGTACCTGCTGTCGTAAAGGAAAGGATGTGGCGTAAATATTATTTAAATCCTTGATGAGCTGCTTCACCTCTATCTTCCTTGTTATCCTTTCCTCCTTCCTGCCACTCCCAGATTGATCTCCCAGTGATGGGAGACAGCGAGAGGCGAGTGGAGAGGAAAAGGAGGTGGGATGGGAGGAGGGTGAAAGTACCAGCCAGCACAATGACATCATGGGTACTCACCCCCTCTAGTGTCTGCTCACACTCACTAACCCCTTGTGTTCCTGTAAACTAAAAAATTTACTTTATTAGAGTTTTGCTAATATTGTTTTATTTTAGTTCACTGTGCTATTTAATTATTTCTCCATGAATGTTGTTTTTGGTAAAACTAATACAGAAATTAGCTTTTTTAATTGATAAAAAGCATTTTTGGTTTGTTCTGTCTATTGTAGTTTTTATTCTTTCTATCCCGTTCTACTTAAGTACATTCTTACTAGTGTCTTGTATTCCCAACAAGCCTCCATTTTCCCCTCTACTGCCATGGTCACAAGTTCTCCATTGTTCCAACAAACAAGAGTCTCTCCACAGAACAATGAGCGCTGACAACATAACGCTGATGTACTACAGGACGTTCATCTCTGCTATGAAGCTGCCCATTATTAAAACTAGATACCTAAAGACAAAAGAACTATTGCATTATGCCACAAACAACTATCTGCTGTCTTAGGAACATATACATTATTAGTATGTATAAACATTTTAATGCTTAAAATTTACAGAGGTAAATAAGTGGGGGAAAATGGTATTTTATAGATTGTTAAGAGAAGTATCCAGATACGTAGGTGGGATGACCTGAAAAAGACTTGGTTTGCAAGAAAAGATAGATAGATAGAGATAGATAGATAGATAGATAGATAGATAGATAGATAGATAGATAGATAGATAGATAGATAGATAGATAGATAGATAGATAGATAGATAGAGATAGATAGATAGATAGATAGATAGATAGATAGATAGATAGATAGATAGATAGATAGATAGATAGATAGATAGATAGATAGATAGATAGATAGATAGATAGATAGATAGATACATACATACATACATACAGTGGTGTGAAAAAATATTTGCCCCCTTCCTGATTTCTTATTCTTTTGCATGATTGTCACAAAAAATGTTTCTGATCATCAAACACATTTAACCATTAGTCAAAGATAACACAAGTAAACACAAAATGCAGTTTTGAAATGATGGTTTTTATTATTTAGGGAGAGAACAAAATCCAAACCTACATTGCCCTGTGTGAAAAAGTAATTGCCCCCCTTGTTAAAAAATAACCCAACTGTGGTGTTTCACACCTGAGTTTAATTTCTGTAGCCACCCCCAAGCATGATTACTTCCACACCTGTTTCAATCAAGAAATCACTTAAATATGAGCTGCCTGACACAGAGAAGTAGACCAAAAGCACCTCAAAAGCTAGACATCACGCCAAGATCCAAATAAATTCAAGAACACATGAGGGCAAAAGTAATTGAGATCTATCACTCTGGTAAAGGTTATAAAGCCATTTCTAAAGCTTTGGGACTCAAAGCTAATATTTACATAACAAGTATGATTGGGTTTTGAAATACAGCACTCTGTTTATTTTAGTAAGATTTTTAAATCAAGTAAAGTTGGTAAAGAACACATTTCTATTGGCTGCTAAGAAACTGTTGGACTTAAAAAAGGCCTGTTGTAGAAACAACTTGGCATAAATGATTCTTCCTTCCTTTTTTAACAAAAGAAATTCCAGTAATTGAGCAAAAATATTTATTTTTTCACATCACATTTTATAAAATAACAGGACACAAAGTGTCGGAACATTTAAAAAATACTTACAATAATAAATGGGGCCCAGAGAGCTGCAGAGTGAGTGGAACATTGGGTTGTGAAGGAAGAACAGTTCTCAACAGTGTGATATGAGTAGGGTTGTCACGGTAACCGGTATAAGGTAAACCCCGGTAAAAAAGTTGACAATAAAAGTAACCGTCCAGTTTTTAAAAAACTAAATTATCTCGGTGGGTTTACCGTGGCCGCGGTTTCGGCGCGGTGACCCTTACCAGCCACCGTCGCTTCAGCTGAAGTTCCCGCGGCGCGCACACGCACTTTTTAGTTTGCAACGGCACCAAAACTTTGAAGCTGAAATAATGGCCGAAGGAGGAGACGGCAGCGCCCAGGACATCCATCAGCCCTCAAAGAAGACTAAATCGGAAGTATGGGCATATTTTGGATTTCTGAAAAATGCTGAGGGACAGTTAATAGAAGACTGCTATCCCGTTTGCAGAACGTGCAGGAAACAAGTGTCTGCAAAAGGCAGCAACACTTCGAATCTAATGGCACATCTGCGTGACCATCACCCACGTCTCTACAGCCAGTGCAAGGTAAGTTAACATTAGCATTTTAGCTTAAATGCATGACGTGAGGACTTTTGGTTGAGGGAGAATGCAACGAGTCACTATATACTGCAGCCGCAGCGTCCTCTGCCAGCATTTAAACCGTGTCACGGACACCCTGTTGCTGGATGAAGCATCTTATTTGTTGATGATGAAGAGAAATATACAATTAGTTCCTTGTCATTGATTTGTTTACTTATTCAATGCCATTTATACTTGAACATTTGGATTTGATTACATAGTGTAGTAGTTATTTTAGTCATTTGTTTAAAGTGGCTATTTATTTTAAATACATGTTTTTTAAGGTTGACTTGTACAGCGCTCAAGTCAAGTGTGGACTGGAGTTTTAGATTTTCATTTTGATAATGAAGAAAACAAGTATATGAGAAAACAAGTGGTGTTTCTTTGATTTGTTTACATATTGTTTATGTTTTGAATGTTTGGATTTGTATAATTTAAACCTGCACTGACTACTGTAACATGTTCCAGAAAAAGAAGCTATTTGTTCCTTTACTTGTGAAAAGTTGCACTTTTGCTAAGGCTTTGTGTTATTTTAGGTTTAATAAACACTGTTAAACCTTTTCAAAACTATTTCAGTTTGTGTAGAACAGGACTATCAATGCTTTCTGAACATATGCAACACCGTTTAAAAAATACCGCGATAATACCGAAAACCGTGATAATTTTGGTCACAATAACCGTGAGGTTAAATTTTCATACCGTGACAACCCTAGATATGAGGGTGTAGAAGGTGAAGCTGGTGCAGGTCCTCCTTCTTCATGTTCACCAGATTCACACTGCTGACCACCCTCATGTCATTGCCGCCACAGTTGATGAGAAGGACATCAGGAGCTGCTCTTCCATGCATGGAGTGGAAAAAGAAGGGGAGAAGCTCTTTCCACCTCAGTCCGCCCCAACCGAACCAGGAGACACGGACGTCAGGGAGGCCAAGGTTGTGTCAGAGGGTCTCTGCAGCTCTCTGGGCACCACGCCTCTCGTAGCTGTCACCGATGATCCCAATGGCTATGGAGAAAAAATAACAGGTTTGGCCTAGCTGTTTAAAGTACAAAACCATACATGAAGTGGTCAAGACAGGTATTTGGAACTTACACTTGCTGCATTGTGTAGCTGATGTTGGAGACACACAGGCTGCCATGGTGACCTTTTAACAGATCTAAGAAATAAATTTAATAAAAGAATAAAACTTAAAAACTCCCAGACCTCATGTCATGATTGCTAATCAGCTATGGCTGATTTATTGTTTGGATCACAGTGAGTTACACTAATTCTAATATATTTTTATTTCTATTACACATACATACTTTTTAACTGTTATTTTCACATGACTGTCATCAGGCTGTCTTGTTCTGGTTCTCACGATAATAATTCTGTTTCTTCCAGTAAGTTATCTTGTGCTTACTTCATCTGTATAATGTCTCTTTACTTTTGGTGAATTGTACTGAGTCCAGAATAAAGGCTACTTGGCTGTACAAGATACAAACAAGTATTACGTTTTGGAAATGTATTTAGCCTGCTAATTTATCTCAAATACTAATAACTACCGTATTTTCCGGACTATAAATCACACTTTTTTTCATAGTCTGGCCGGTCCTGCTACTCCGGAGTGACTTATATAACAAAATATGTAGGCTACACCGCGCTGCTGTGGGTTGACTCCGACCCAAGGATGAGTTCCCCTGGCCCGCTGGGAGGGTTTCAAACACTGCCTTCCTCTGCTGGAGACCATGGCGCGCTGCTGTGGCGCATTATTTGGTTATTGTTACCGGTACTTGTCTTGCAATGTGAAACGCTTTGTCTCAGATTTTGTAAGAAAAATAAAATTTCCCCCCAAAATACGACTTATATATGTTTTTTTCTTCTTCGTTATACATTTAATGGCTGGTGCGACTCAAGAGCGACTTAATAGTCCTGAAAATACGGTACGTGAAAAATAGTGAAAACTTGCTCAAAGCAAAATATATTTTCATTACGGAAATAACTTATAAACTTACCGATTTAATATTTTTTATTCACAGAAAGGTACTTCTCATGAAAAAGCGCCGCAAACCTCCACCTGAACTCCATGCGGTCGATGGGTGTTCCACAGAGTTAGCTCCGGTTGTAGCTAGGTGGCTACATCCGTTAGCTCTGCTCCCACCTCCGCGTTAGCTTTGGGTTAGCTTCAGGTTAGCTTGTAGCTAGTTCAACCGGGTGTCGTCAGTTGATCCCAGCCTTACAGCCCCACCCTCAGCTCTTCCTCTCTTCCCTTTTATGGAATTGTCTGGGCTTGACGGAACCTGTGACACGGTCAAAATGGCGGTGGTGGCCACCTCCCATTTTAGCACAAAAACTTGTTATTGTAGTCTATGGAAACCCATTGTCCATACATTAATGTCGATGTTCTCACCCTATCTCTAAGGGAGAGCCCAGCCACTCTGCGGAGAAAACTCATTTCGGCAGCTTGTATCCGTGATCTCGTTCTATCAGTCACTACCCAAAGCTCACCATAGGTGAGGGTAGGAACGTAGATCGACCGGTTGTCACAGTCAGGATGGAGGAGGTGGAAACCAAAATGCAGAACCCAGAACGACTCAAGACAGGAGAAGTCTTCAGAAATAAATCCTTTATTTTAGAGGAGGATGTGCCAAAGTCCAAAAGCACTAAAAAACGAACCAAACTCAATTTTACTGAATGAACCAAAACAAACAGAAACTCAATCATGAGCACGGTAGGAGAACACAAGGAAGACAGAAACACGCTGACGAATGCAATGAACCAACAAACACAGAGTGACAAGACAAGGTTTTTAAACACAGAGGGAGGTAATCAGGGAAACAGGAGACAGGTGTGAGGAGTGTGAGCTGAGGAGAAACTGTTGGAATCAATTAACTAAATGGGAAGGGAAAGAGCTTGGCAGGAGGGCAGATAAACATTAACCTATCAAACATGGATCTAACTAAACCTAAAAGACAGAGGGCAAATATAAACCAGTGATAACCAGACACAAGAGGAGAGCCTGAAGTGGGAACAGGAGGGGGCTGGGGAACAAAGGGACACAGAACATGACACCGGTAAATCGAGAGCTTTGCCTTCTGACTCAGCTCTCTCTTCACCACGACAGACCGGTACAATGCCCGCATCACTGCAGATGCAATCCGCCTATTGATGTCACGCTCCAGTTTTCCCTCACTCGTTAACAAGACCCCAAGATACTCAATGTTTATGTTTATGTATTTAGCAGAAGCTTTTGTCCAAAGCGACTTACAAGTGACAATCTGCATGTTGCCCTTGAGGCTAACAACAACTTGACATGAATCATGGAGAGGAGGGAACAAGGAGTGGACAGTAGAGAGGGGGGATGGGTGCAGGGAGGGTTCTAGTTAAAGAACCCTCCCTGCAACTACTGAAGAGCAGGGTCTTCAGTAGTTTCTTGAAAACTACTGAAGACCCAGCCTTGAAAATTGAAAAGGAAGCCCCTGTTCTGGTAGTGCTTGGAAGGTCATTCCACATTTGTGGAACGATGCATGAGAAGAGTCTGGATTGTCCTGAGTGTGGTGTAGGCACTGCTAGCCGACGATCTCGTGATGACCAGAGCGGTCGGGCCATGACGTAAGCCTTTGCAAGAGGATTCAGGTAGATGGGAGCCGTACAATCTCAGACTTTTTGTGCTAGTGTTAGCAATTTGAATTTGATGCGTGCTGCTAGCGGTAGCCAGTGGAGCTCAATGAACAGAGGGGTGACGTGTGCTCTTTTTGGCTGATTGAAGACCAGACGCACAGGCTGGAAGACCAGTTAGAAGGGCATTGCAGTAATCGAGGCGGGAGATGACAGTAGATTGCACCAGGAGCTGGGTGGCATGTTGTGTTAGGTATGGTCTGATCTTTCGTATGTTATACAGCGCAAAGTGGCATGAACGAGCAACAGAGGCAACATGATCTTTAAAGGTCAGGTGTTCATCAATCACAACACCCAGATTTCGAATTGCCTTTGAAGGAGCCAGAGATAGGAAGTCATTTTGGATTGAGACATTGTGCTGTATGGATGGTTTTGCTGGGATGACAAGTAGTTCAGTTTTAGAGACATTGAGTTGGAGATGGTGGGATCCATTTTGACATGTCAGAGAGACAGTTTGATATTCATGCAGAAGGGTCGTTCGGTGGAAATGACAGATAGAGCTGGGTGTCGTCTGCATAGCAGTGGTAGGAGAAGCCATGTGACTTAAACTCCTTTGCTCCAAAGAAGCCTTTGGACTTAAACTCCTCCACTTGGGGCAGGACCTCATCCCAGACCCAGAGAAGGCCTTCTACCCTTTTCCGAATCAAGACCATGGTCTCAGATTTAGAGGAGCTGATTCTCATCCCAGCTGCTTCACACTCGGCTGCAAACCGCTCCAGCGAAAGCTGCAGATCAAGTTCTGATGAAGCCAACAGGACCACATCATCTGCAAAAAGCAGATACCTGATCCTCAGGCCACCAAAACGGATGCCCTCAACACCTTGGCTGCGCCTAGAAATCCTGTCCATAAAGGTTATGAACAGAATCGGTGACAAAGGGCAGCCTTGGCGGAGTACAACTCTCACTGGGAACGAGCCTGATTTACTGCCGGCAATGCGGACCAAGCTCTGACACTGGTCATACAGGGACCTAACAGCCTGTATCAGAGGGCCTAGTACCCCATACTCTGGAGTACCCCCCACAGGGCCCCACGAGGGATGCGGTCTAACGCCTTCTCCAAAGGTTTTGCATTGAACTTCACAATTTTATTTTTTTAGTCTTGGGAACACACAGACTTCAGGCTGTAATTGACTGCAAAGGACTTGCAACCAAGTATTGAAATGTACAAGTTTGAATTATGGTTCTTATTCTGTCCCATTACTTTTGGTCCCTTACCAAGTGGGAGGCACATATGCAAACTGTTGTAATTCCTACACCGTTCACCTGATTTGGACATAAATACCCTCAAATAAAAGCTGACCGTCAGCAGTTAAAGCACATCTTGTTCTTTTCATTTGATATCCAATTGTGGTGGTGTATAGAGCCAAAAATGTTAGCATTGTGTCAATGTCCCAATATTTATGGTCCTGACAGTATATATATATATATATATATATATATATATATATATATATATATATATATATATATATATATATATATATATATATACATACATACACATAAATTTGCTTTTTCCTCCGCTTATGTGGGTCCAGGTCACAGGGGTAGCATCTCAACAAGGGCATCCCAGACAGCCCTCTCCCTGGACTCTTTCACCATCTCCTCCAGCAGGACCTCAAGGTGTTCCTGGGCCAGATTGGAGATGTACTTACTCCGTGTCCTCGGTCGACCCAGGGCCTCCTACCAGCAGGACATGCCAGAAACACCACCGTAGGAAGGCATCCAGCCGGCATCCTGGCAAGATGCCCAAACCACATCAACTGCTCCTCTCGATGCGGAGGAGCAGCATCTCTACTCCTACTCCCTCCCATATGTCCAAGCTCACCCTATCTCTACGGTTGAACCCGGCCACCTTCCAGAACCTCATTTCAGCCGATTGTATCAGCGATTATATTCTCAGCTCAGCTACAAACATAACAGACAGACTTGTGATGTAATGAGTGCCCTCAGTCTGTTGCAAATCCCACACATGGAAACAAGAATTTTAAATGACACTGTGGCACCTGCTTCTGCTGTAGTTTGTTTTGCTGACAACTTGACCTTCTGAATCAAACATCCAAGCACATTCCTTCCTGGTGTTTCTGCATGTTAAATGGAAAACTGCTTGCGTGGGAACACATCATCAGTGTGTTTATAGTAGAAACAAAACTTCACCTTTAAATGTCAGCAGAAAGGAGTTTTGTCTTGTTAGCAAAGAAGCAGTAGAATCAGAGGAGTTGTTCTGACTGACTCTTAGGTGTTGAACAGAAGCTCTTGAGACTAAAACTAAACAATTTTAGATTTTTGTTTTTATTTTCACCATCATGGCTGACTCGGGTTTCTCGTCACCACCAGATACTTTCTGTCCTCTGTGTGCAGATGGACTGAGCGATCCAGTCACTATTCCATGCGGCGACACTTTCTGCTTGGAGTGCATCAAGATCTACTGGGACCAGTATGACCACACGGGTGTGTACAGCTGCCCTCAGTGCCGTGCAACCTTCACGCCACGACCCGTCCTGAGACTTGACCTCCCAGATGTCCAATACCAGCTACACCAGCAGCTACCAGAGCTCACTCCTTTCCCCGACTTGCACCGGGAGTCCTACTGTGACTTCTGCGTTGGCCGTCGCAATAAAGCTGTGAAGTCCTGTCTCATGTGTCTGGCTTACTACTGCGAAACGCACGTCAAGCCTCATTATGAGTCGGCGACTTTCAAGAGGCACAAGCTGGTGGATGAGACGGGTCACCTGGACAGGAAGATCTGCCCCCAACATGAGAAAGGCCTGGAGCTTTTCTGTCGCTCTGACCAGATGTGCATCTGTGTACTGTGCACTGTTAGAGAACACCGCAGCCACAACATCACCTCAGCAGAAGAAGAACGCACGGAGAAACAAGTAAGTCAGGATAAAAAAACTCAAATGTTGAAAATTGTTTTAAAAAGAGGTTTGCATATAAAATCCTGAATGGAAAAACATTTGTTTGCCATTAAAATGTGTTGATCTATGAAATCTAGTCTCCTTTTGACTTTTTTTTTTACAGAAAATTTTGATAGTGACCCAGTCAGAGGTGCAACACATCATTTCAGACAGAATGAAGGAGCTTCAGGAGCTCAAGCACAATGTAGATGTTCTAAAAGTAAGTAAGAAACAAAGTAACCAATCAAAAAAGCTCACTGGACCACATGGCACATACATATTAGAAGTGAACCTGGATCAAAAAGCTCCTAACAAAGTGTCCTTTCAGAAAAATGCCCAGAGAGCGCAGACAGAAAGTGATAAGACCTTCCATGAAATGCTGCAGGCAGTCGAGCGCTGGAAATCTGAAATCAACCAGATGATAATGGCCAACATGCAGGCAGCAATGCTGCAGGCTGAAGGTTACCTTGACCGCCTGGAGCAGGAGATCCAGGAGCTTCAGCGCCGGGACGCAGAACTACGACAGATCTTAGAAACAGAAGACAACATTCACTTTCTACAGGTGCCTGATGATAGTACTGGACCAAACTCCTTCTGATGACCTCTGAATGTTCCTTTTATTAAGGCTTACAAATCTGTATTCAGCTTATTTTTTCTCAAATCATTTTTGTTGGCTTTAATAAAACATTTGTTTTTGTTTAAACAGAATTTCCCCACCCTGCGTGTTCCTCCTGAAGCCATGGTCCCAAAAGTTCTCATCAACCCCCAGTTCTCTTTTGGAGAAATCAGCAGAACAGCCACAGAGATGAAGGAAAACCTGGACGATATCTGCAAAAAGGAACTCAGCAAAATCTCAAAGACAGGTATGTTCCTAACATTTGGACTCTGATTAAGTGAACCAGAGACGGGTCAGACTGATGTAGAATCTTTTCACAGTGAGTGACACTCCCATCTACATACTGCTACCAAGAAATGGAGACAAATGTCTCAAAGGTGAGTTTGAGTGAGTTTGTGAGTGAAATGTTTAAGGACGAGCAGATGTCATAACTGAACTGTTTTGGTCATGCTCCAACAGTTCCTTCTAGAGTGAATTTGCAGGAACCAAAAATGAGATCTGACTTCCTGAGATGTGAGTCTTCAGCTTTATTCTCTTTAGACTTTTCAGTTTTCCAGTAACCTACTGGTGTTTTTGTTTTCCATTTAAAGGCTCAACAAGTAAGAATTTTACAGTGAAAAAAAAAATCACAAAACAGTCTAACTTCTCAATTGATGTTGGAAGCAAAGTTAGGTTGAAACAGATTTCCTGCTCAGCTGGCGGGGGGTGGGGTGGGGGGGGTGGGGGGGGGGGGTGATAGTTTTTCTCCTTTTAAAATGGCCGAAGTGGGATCTAGTTATTGTTTACACTGGCTGTTTCTCAGTATGCGACGTTGGCCCAAGTACTATTCCAATCCTAAGAACGCTTTTATGCAAGTATGCTGAGTTTTCGGATGTGCTCTAGTTTGTCCAGTGCACAAGGACATAATGCCCCACTCTATCCCATCTCCATTCTTCTTGTTTCCAGAAACTGCAGTGTTGCCATTTCTGCGCCAGCAAACAGGAGCAACCCAGAAGTTATTTTTTGTACCCCTAAGAAGCCACGTCATCATGTTTGTTTTACTCTAAAATTGGGTTCAGAAGGCTAGAGGCTAATATTGAGCTAACAAAACTAACAGTTAATTACAAAGAAACTCTGTGTTTGCTTGTCATTTAGAATCTTTTGGCACTGATCTATAACAGGAAATCGTTGCTCAGAGCGGACTTGTTTATTTCAATATGTGGACTGCTATACCCTTATTTGACCACATGATGTCATTCTTACTTCATGCGACTTTAAATCAAAGTTCTTTTAAATTAATTGTAGATTTTGTATTTTAAAACCTGAAGAAACATATTTTGTGATTTTTTGTTTCTCAGATTCATGCAGGCTGTCCTTTGATCAAAACACGGTCTACAAAGAGCTGGTTTTGACGGACGGGAATAAGAGGGTCAGCCGGAAGAAATCCATCCAGTTTTACCCGGATCACCCAGAGCGCTTTGATGGATTTTCACAAGTGCTGTGTAAGGAGCCGTTGTCTGGTTTCAGGTTTTACTGGGAGGCGGAGTGGAGCGGGGAGTTCTCCATCGGGGTGGCCTATAAGAGCATCAGTCGTAAAGGGAAGAACTCCCAGAGTCTTCTGGGTTATAATGACAAGTCATGGAGTCTTCTGTGCTCAGATTCAGGTTACTCAGTCTGGCACAACAAGGTAGACAAAGATCTCCCTGATGCACCCAGAGCTTCTAGAATAGGTGTGTACTTGGACTATGCTGGAAATGTTCTGGCCTTTTATTCAGTGTCAGACACAATGCAGCTGATCCACAGATTCAAGGCTCAGTTCAGTGAGCCTCTATATGCTGGATTTGGCGTTGGTTCCTCTGTTACCCTATGCCAACTCAAACCGAATAATGTGCCTTAAACATAATTAAAATCAGCTATTGTAAAAATTAATGTCAGAGAGGTTATTTAATCAAAAGTGGGTTCATTTGTTTTGAATAATTTTTGGGGGTTATTCGTAAAAGCTGCCCAATGCCAAGCTATGATCAGACACTAACTGGTTTCTTCACTGGGGCCAGAACACAGTGCCATGAAAGGGTTGAGAGAGACTTAAGGGACTTACCAAGCATGAAGAAGGCTGTGGAACAATTGGAATATCAAACAATAAAATTACCTCTTTCACAAGGTTAAAGAGAAGCTTAGCTTTTAGCGTTAATCTCTGGAAACATCCACTGAAATGTTGAAAATGAACAAAACGTCGTCCATAAACCATAAATATCTAGTCTAAAGTACATTGTGCATGGGTCTAGCATCTTTGGAGGGCATGGACATGGTTCCATCTGGCCGGCTCGCAGTCTTGCACCTGTCGATGATGTCAAATTAGAAGATTGACTGGATGTGTGACTTGCGGAAGTTACATTACCACGTTTAAAAACATTTAGGCAGAAGGAAACATGAATTTAATAACAAAACTGCTAAAGTCTTTCCAAAACATTTGTGAAAGAACAAAATCGAAAAAAAAGTTGCTAGTCAGGTAGTGTTGCCGTAGTATGATGACGTCATCGGCAGGCACAGGACCCCGAGCAGATCCGGAAAGTACAGCGCCAGAAAGCTACAACGGGTATTGTAATCTCTTGATGGAATTAACTCGGAGCACAGCGGACAGCAGCGCCGCTGTGAAAGCGGATAACGGAACGGGGAAGCTAATTAGCATAAAAAGCCGGCATGAAATTATGGAAATGCCTCAAAGAAAATCAACACGATCTATTAGGTGTCCCAGAAGGCTTATATCTGAAGACAGTGACCACGAAGAAGGACAGATCTCCAGTGAACCAGGATATGAATGTTTGTTCAGTCTTTTTTTTTTTTGAACAACCCTCAACTATTTGCTAATTGCAAGATTCAGCTTCATTCCAGCATTATTTACCTTTTTACAATAAATAATTATTTTTGCTAAAACAAAAGTTTTTGGTATAACAGTGCACGGTGTGCAAGAGAAGCACCCCATGGCAGTGCGAGGTGTGCAGGACTCTGCCTGCAGCTGGAGAGAAACTGCTTCAAGGCCTACCACATCAAATAAAAACGTCTGAAAGCTTACAAAAATAAATGGTCTTAAAACTGCTAAAAAAAGATACAAAGGTTCAAACTTTTTTAAGAATAGATGCATTACAGTTCAAAGTTTAAATTGTTCATTCCAAATTGTTTGCCCAAGTCATTTTGAAGTTTCTGTTCAGTAATAAATGTAAAAAAAATTCAAATCCGTGTTTTGCTTTTTTCACTTTTAAACTGATTTTTTAAAGGCTTTAATAGAAATAAATTGTAAATACAAACCATACACTGAAAGCTGAGGTTGTTCTGAAAAAAGGAGAAGAGTTACATGCACTTTGCACTTTTTATTACAATTTTACAGCCATAAGATAAAAAAAATACCAGGTAGCCCTGTTATAATTATGGTCATAAGAGGGTTATTAAGACAGTGATGCACAAACATGAAGTGATTGGTAGTCATTCCACTCCAATCCAGTTGGTGGCGGTAATGCACCAAATTGTTGTTTGCCAAGTGCCATAAGACCACAAATAAGAAGAAGAAGAGAGGCGGGGGCGTTTGTAACAAACTCAAAGCGATAGTCAAAACATTAAGCATGAAATTAAGTTATCCTAGTGGCTCCAATAAGAGAAAGAAGCAGCATACTTCGTAAAAGCTTTTATTTTCACTTCTTAAAGTGACGTCGCTTTTTGATGTAAACATCAAAAGGAAGCAGAAAGGAAAGACAATGGAAAATGTTTAAAGGGAGGAAAACATAGATCAAAATGGAAAATAGAAAAAAAAATACAAAGGCAAAAGCACAGGAGCACTGACAGGAAAAAGAAAGCAGAGCAAATACGGAAAGGGCTCAAAGGGAGGGAAATACAGGAAAAAAGAGGAGGAAAAAGAGAAAATAACTCATGTCAGAAGAGGGGAGAGTTTCGCAAATCCAGTTAAATATAAGATTGTCGAAATTTTAGTGTAAGGGGCTCCATGTCTCTGTTTGCCTTGGGCCCCCAAATTGCTAAATCCGCCCCTGACTGAAGGACTATAAAAGTCTGAGGAGTCACTCCAAGGTTGCATGCTTTCTGTTCCACACAACATTTAACATAACATATTTGAAACTAGCAACAGTCAGGGCAATGTGGTGTCAACTACCCTGAAATGTATGTAGGCCTACTGCCCTGTAGGGTCAGAATACTACACACCGTCACTTGAAATGACTGTTTTGAATATTTGTATTCATTTTTATCACAGGAAGTCACTTCTTCTCACTTTGAGCAACATATCACTATTAATGTCTAAACAGTTTATTTTTATATTGTCACGTATCACAGGGAAATCTATATGTGCAATATCAACATTCTGTATCCCAATGTTGGATTTGTGTCTTGTGTTTTATATTCCCATTTAAATTTACATTTTCATCACTTTGTTATTTCTTCAATGGATTGCTGAGAACAAACTGTCTCCTTTTTCTCAATGACAGTTTCACAGATATAAATGTCTTTTCTAAAAAATAACTTTCAAAACAGACATTCAAAAAGTTCTGTTAACGTGATTAGCGTGTTCGTATTGTGCCAGCTCAAATTACTTGAAAATAAAACATTTTGTGCATCAGTTTTATTTTATTTTTTATTTCACAAAATACAAGTTTTTTATTCCAGTAACTGCAGCTGAGGAATCATGTTGTCATCTCAGTACAGAAGATTGATGTCACACACACACACACACACACACACACACACACACACACACACACACACACACACACACACACTTTTTTAACGGTTCTTTTCAATAATTTTCTAATATTCAATCAGGTTGAACAGAATACAGTTTAAAGAGGACAGAGTCCTCCCTGTGCTCTTTATTTAAAGCTTCCTTCCGGAGTATTTCTCTTATGAATTGGCACCATCTAGTGGCTGACAAGCATATCACACAAAAATGCTGTTCCTCTATTTTTTTAAAGAGCAAGTAACGTCTAAATTAACTTTTTTTTGCTGATGAACTGTATAAATGAGTGTCTAATAGTGTTTTAAATGTGTGCATTCTTTATTTTAGCATTTTGGTGCATTTTCTTTAAAAATTAAAAATTCTGTCTAAAAACCACAGTAATGCGCCACCTTCAGCTGAAAACAGAATTTGAGTCATTTTGAATAAATTTTAGCCAATGGCTAAAGAGTAAAATACTACGTAAACCAGTAGAGTACTACGTAGCAGCTCCGTGCCAAAGTTGTAAAAGCAACGAGCGTCTCGGCCACGCCCTGTGGCGAGTTGGGAGTTGGATTTGCAAGCGAGCGTAGGAGGTTAGCCGTAGTTCAGCATTAGCATATAGCATTAGCATATCCTAGTCTTAGCATATCTTTTAGTGTTATAAATACTTATTTAGTGTTAGATTTGGCTGTTGGATATTGTAGTTTAGTTAGTGTTTGGCTGTTAGTGTAATTAGGAAAGTAGTTCGGGTTTAGTGCTCCATATCGTGTTAGTATTGGTGAGTAGGTGTAGTGTAGTATGCTTGCGGTGACTCTGTGGGCATTTTACCCACGATTCTGCACGTCTCCGTTTGAAGAGGGAGGCTGCCCACCGTGGCTCTTCCGCGATTTAGATGCAGCCCACCGACTCTGCTCCCCCACCACGGCGGGCTCCAGTCTGAGGTGAGTCAGCTAAATAAACGTTTTAACATCTTCTAAAGACAATTTCCTACCTAAATGCAAAGTCTGAGAGACGTGGTTCACTTCCTTTAGCTAGTCAGTCGGCAATTCTGCAACAGTGTCTCTAACTGACGCAGCACTTGACAGACAGCATTACAGCGTGAAATCCAGCTTGTGAACAGGTTCTGTGAGGAATTCTGTTCAGGAGGTCGCATTTCAGGCTCTCCACATCATGTGTGACTGACTTTTACGTTATAACAACGATCACACACTAGGAATGTTATAAAGCGCCTATATACGAGATTCTTTTGTATATTATCTGACTTTATAAACGCCCAACAACAATGTGCTTCTATTTTTTTCAGGCTAAATCTACCCAAGACACTGGCTGTCAGACTGATTTAGCTGCAAGAATGCACTTGTCCAGGCAGACGTGAAGCCTTACCTGTAGCAAAGGTGAATTATTTTTAATAATCTATGTAAACATTTTATTATTACCTTCTAGTTTTAATTTGTTTTACAGATTATTGTTACACGTGATTTTATGCTCTTTTAAACATAAATGTGCTGCTTCTTTGTTTTTACATAGCCAGCCAGAATGGGGTTCACAGCCGCAGTGTGTCTGGAGACCCACGGGGACCATGATTCATCTTCCAGAAGGTCCCAGAGCAGCGGCCACACCCCCTGAAAAGACCAAGGTGTGAGGTGTCTGCTGTTGATTCCAGCTTCCACCTCAGTGACAGTGCAAGCTCAGTGAACTGTTCAAGGTAAAAAAAAATTAAAACTTTTCAGAATTTTTAAGATATTAACAATTAAATAAGTATGTGATTACATCATGACATCATGAAGGAGGCTACTGATTCTGGCCCTGTGACACTTGGTGGTGACGTGTGAGCTGATTCACCTGGAAAACAACTTTTACATTAAATATTTTGTTTTTGCTATCAAAAGTAAATTAACTAATAACCTGCATTATTGCAGGACACTCAGCAAAATATGGACTCTACACCATGAGGCAGGCACACGTTAATAACTCTATAAGAGCACATAAGGTGAGCAACACCACATATTGTACACTGTCCTGAATTTGTTTTCTTTCTGCATCTCATCATTAGCCTGGCTGATCACCTGATAACTCCTGTCATCTGGTTATGACAGCATGAGGATGTCCTCACACACCTGTAACCTATCAGCTCATCTGGCAGAATAGAGAGAGAAGAGACAACACCACATCTCCTGTTCCTGGAAAGCCTTCAGCCATCCTTCGATGACTGAGAACCTCCATCAGCTCTGTCTCCTGTCTGCCCACAGTTATTATAATAAATATTGTGTTTGACAAGTTTTTTGTGCTGCCAAATATCTCATATAGATTCCAGTTTTGATATTTTAATGGATATTTATAAATTACATTAATTGAATTATCACAATGCATGTTTAACTAGCTCTATTGTGATGAATTAAACTAGCACCTCACTGTTAAAAGCTCATTTTAATTTCAAGCATGTTTAAGTATTTATGGACATGAACAAAAACAGGAAATATATAAATTGAGATTTATTTAATTAATATAACAAATAAGGGGGAAAGAGTCATTGAAAGGCACATTCTTCTGGAAGTTCCTGATCCTGACGACACCAGCAGAGGAGACCACCTGCAGACACCAGAGACCAGCTGCAGACACCAGAGGACCTAGAACCAAGAGAGCAGCTGTTATCAGTAAATAAATAAATCAGGGCAGTTTTAGTGAGCTGAACACATTACAGAATAATTTTCTCATGGGGTAGTTTCATAACTTTATGCAGCAGACTGTAACTTGAGCCCAGAGCTACCGGAGAGCTGCTATCCAGCATGTTTCAGTGGATTTTCCTGCTTTAACAGGTTAGATTAACTGTTAAGCAGCTCAGCTATTTGTTGCTGATTAAAACCAGGTGTGCTGAAGCAGATAAACCTCTAAAACATGCTGAATACTAGCTCTGGGGGCCGTGGAGACAAACCCTGCAGCTAATCCAATGCTATGGCTAACGGCTACTTACGTTCAGAGGTGGTTTTGTTGGGTCGGTTCTGGGAGTTACAGGCAACTCACAAGCTCACAACAATAAGGCTCAGGTCCGCTTGTCTCCTCCAAATAGACTTGGTCCCTTTCTTCTCGAGTGTCTGGGTAAGGAGGGGGAGAAACATCCTCCACTTCTAATAACTGCATAGAGTGAAGGGAGCTAGCATCGTCTAGTTAGCTGTCGTCTTCGTCACTGCCGCGGCTCCGCCCTCCCGGTCCTCCAGGCAACGCCTACTAATGTTGCATTTTTTAAAATTGATACGTGGGTGGAGAAGGACTCCGAGGCTCAATTGACCCGCTCTTTAAGATGGCGACTTCACGTTTCTGTTTATAAATGTGCTTCTGTAGCCGACAAACAGAGCCAAAACACGTTGTTTTACGAGTATTATTCTCATGTCATGTTGTGTTTTCATATATTTATATTTTAGAGACTTTCTTGTCCGTGAAAAGTTCATCAACTCTGCATCTGCCGACAAGGGCGTAGGAACGAGTTTAATATTTGGGGGGACACGTTTTGGAAATCTAACAAACAGTGGCGGCTGGCCAGTAGAGGGCGATAGGGCACCGCCCTCCCAGTTTTTCCGTGTTTTTAATTTTTATTAAAGAAAATAAATAAATAAAATTAACAATAATCACATATTCTAAGTTAATTGTGTGTTTTGTAACAAAAATAAATCATATATATATATATCTATATTGGTCTCTGCCGGTCTCTGCCGAGCGGTGGAGGCTGTGTGCTGTTTTTCAATCGCCCAAACAGGACGAGACCAGCTGTCCAATTGCTGACAAGAATATCAAAGGGTAGGAATGGGAATGTATCCAATCAGCGTCAACGTTGTTTCAGAACGTTTCAGTAGCATGATGGGCGATGGAGCTACCGCCAAAGGATTCGTTGGTGTTCGGTAGAACTCGGCAGAGTCGTTTTTGGTCGTGACGCAGATGTACGCCGCCGGTGACTACAACCAGCATGGATACCGGATCTCATCAGCCACTGAATTCAGTTCGGTCTCTTCTCCACTATCCGTTCGAGAGGAGAACTATGGTGGAAAAACTTAATGTCAAAGAGCTTGGACCAGATCAGCCCGACGTATAAGCCAGTAGGAGAAGGAGAGAGGTAAACTGTACACACGAGGCTTCTCCCGAAATTGGTACACCAAGAAGGCTTGGCTAGCTGGATGCAATCACGCTAATGCGTTATTTTGCTTTCTGTGTTTGTTATTCAAAACGGCTGGGACAGATAAGGCATGGATGAGTCAGGAGTTACAGACATGAAACATTTTTCTGAGAAGGGGAAGAAACACGAGTCATCCCGGGCACACATGAACAACAACACGGTGAAGCTAGCCATGCTAGGCAGCAGAGCTAACGTTGCCATGCAGGGAACAACAGCAGCTGGGTGCAGAGGTAAGCTGTACATTACATTTCTGTGAACAAGACAATCAGAATCAGAAATCCTTGGCTGTCCCACAAACCGGGACATTTGTTTAATAACATGTTTAATTTGCAATAACTGTCAAAACTAATTTCAACACACATACTTATTATACATATTTAATCACGTAAATGTGTATTTCATGTAAATTTGTACATACATCAATCTGATTCCATTTTACCCGTTACACTTCTGCTGCAGCAAACAAATTTCCCAGCTTTTGGGACAATTAAACATTTCTGATTCTCAATTAGATGTTTTTACCTCAAATGTAAAAACATCTGATTGAGAATCAGAAATGTTTTATTGTCCCAAAAACTGGGAAATATGACATTTGTAAGAGGATACTGATGACATTATTTCCTATGAAAGTGTTTCCTATGTACTTATCTGATGTTATTTATTTATCGTATGACAGGTTTTTCACACCATCCTGAGCCATGCAAAAGAAGATTCTTGTCACCACAGCCGAATCAGAAAGGTGCTTTTCTACTTTAAAGAGGATTAAGACTTTCCTTGAGGAACACCATGACACAGGATGGGCTGAATGCTCTTGCCACGCTCTCCATGGAAAAAAAAGCTTGTCACAAACATTCCTGACTTCAATAAAAAGCTCATCGAGAGCTTTGCCACTCAGAAGGACAGAAGGGCAAAATTTCTGTACAAACGAGGTATCACACACACACACACACACACACACACACACACACACACACACACACACACAAATGCATCCACTTGATCTTTGTATAAAGTTGACCTTGGCACAACACTCCAGAAATATTTAACAGTGTAAATTTCTGGCATTTTGTCTAAGTGGTGTTTACTACCATTACTGTAACAGTGACCTGCTCATAATTTTTGGTGTTCACTCAAATGTTGAAATTAAACAAAATGTTTTTGTTACTTGCCTCTTGCATTGCCTATTTACCATTTATGGTCAAGTTATTTTATGTGCAATTTAATGCAGTATTTTTCAACCTTGGTCCGCAAGGCAGCGTGCCAATAGTCACACACACCTGGATTAATCAGTTTGTCCAGTGATGTAAGACAGGAAATAAAAGAGCTGTGCTTAATTCAGGAAATAGTGAAGTTGTGCACAAAGCTCAGAAAGCACAAGTTTGTTTAAAAATAAAAAATAGCACAGCCCCACCAAAAATATTTTTCACCAGCCGCCACTGCTAACAAATCAGTTGTAGGTCAATATATAGGTCAACTTCACTGAAAAAAATACATTTAATGATTATTTCTGATTCGAACGTGTCACTGAGCGTTTCATGCAGGCTGGACATGAACATAGTCTCCTACAGCTATCTCCTGCATTAGCTTCTGATAGAAAATCTGATAGACGGTGAAACTCTAGGATTAGAAAAGTCTGACAGATGTGACTCAGGGCGTAAGGCAAAGCCCAGAAAGACAAGAAAATAACTTTTATAGCCCAGTTCACTAACATTCTGGGTTTTTTTTTTTATCAGGGACCCATGAGCCAGCCAGAAGGGGAGGAGACTTAGGCTTCCCATTAGCCAGATCCAGGTGATTACCGGCCACCGTGGACGTTTTAATTATAAAAAAGCTGTTTATGTGTCAGTACTGTTTTATTTTTATTTAATAATATGAATGTAGGATATATTATCTTATACATATGGGTAGAGATGTGTAAACAGATTTAATACAAGACTAAAGCTGTGAATATTCAGTCTGAATTGATCTGACTCTGATCAAAATATTTTAAACTACATCAGCCAACAATGCTGACCAACAATCAGAAAAATCTGTTTGTTTCTGACAGAATGAAAAAAGAAATAATTCACTTACAACAACAGCTGGACCTACATTAATTTTCAGATGGACAAAAGAAAAAACAGTGGCCACAATTGCAGTCTAAATGCACCAGAAAGCAGAGTTTAACACTTATTTTTCTAATATTTCTAAGGAAGCGTGTACAGAATGCAATTTATTCTTAAACCGTACTGCCCAGCCCTACTTGTAATGGGATTACATATATTTAACTGTGTTCACTTATTATTACATTCAAATCTTCCTCTCATCAGCAACCTAAAACCATCTCATTCTTCACTGTAGCACCTACCTGCACCTCAGCAGGTCTGGTTCTCCCTGTCTCACTCTCAGCAGGTCTGGCTCTCCCTGTCCCATCCTCAGCAGGTCTGGCTCTCCCTGTCTCACCCTCAGCAGGTCTGGCTCTCCCTGTCTCACTCTCAGCAGGTCTGGCTCTCCCTGTCTCACCCTCAGCAGGTATGGCTCTCCCTGTCTCACTCTCAACTGGTTCCTGCTGAACTTCATCTGATCTCTAATATAAAAACAGTGGACAGGAATAAGGAGTAAAAAATACTGTTGGACGACTAGTGCAACATTAAAATCATGGTTGTTATAGTATTATTTAGTCGTGTTCACTTGTTATCATGCTCGAATCTTCCTCTCATCGTCAACCATCTAAAATCTCACTCCACTGTAGCACCTACCTGCACCTCAGCAGGTCTGGCACTCCCTGTCTCACCCTCAGCAGGTCTGGCGCTGCCTGTCTCACCTTCATCATTTCCTGCTGAACTTCCTCTGGTCTCTTATATGAAAAAAGTGAAATGAATAAGGTTTAAAAATGAAATGTGATGAGAATGTCACAAACAAGCAACAATCACACTTACAAACTCCATTTTTATGTGGAGATTCAACTTTTTTATTTATTTCGTGTCAAATGGTTTTTGTCTGTTACTGTAAAATTTTCCATTTTTTGTTGACTAGTAGTGTTGTTTAATGTTTAACGCTAACTAGCAAGATGTTTACACGTCAACCCCACCCCCACCCCCACCCCCCACCCCCACCCCCAACAGGTTCCTACGCCCTTGTCTGCCGAGGTATTCCTTAAATTTGAAGCGTCTAAGCGGCAGTCTAACGCTATTGGTTAGTTCTGGTCGGCGCTCAGTTTCCTATTGCACAGAGCTCTGCCGGGCAGGGGGCGTGCTTAGCAAAAAAAAAAAAAAGACGTATTGCCTATATTATTTCACAGTACATGATAAGATAATCACTTCACAGATTTCTGACAAATTATACATAATTTCTGAAAGAGGAAAACTCCGGAAAGCAGCTTTAATAGACAACCTCACAAGGTGTTTTTTCTGCTCAGACCTCTTTTCGAAGGGGAGGGGTGCGGCGGGGGAATTCACCTCTGAGTGGGTCCAAATCAAATGAGTGGGTAGGGGCTGAATCAACTGTATTAACATGGCTAAAGTCAATCACATCTTGATGTTCTTCCATTTAACGCACATTTCATTCATAATATCGTAAACACAGGCCTATCATTCTTTCAGGTTTTTCTGAATTGTGTGAAATGACCGAATAAAAAAAGGAAAAACAAAACGATTTTGTGGTCACCCCCCATCAAGGTCGAACTGTTTAGTCCTGACTAAAGGAAACTTATTGAGTCAAGAGCCAAACAGAAGAGATTAACATAAAAAGGCTAAAACCACCAGGTGCCCGATTCAAGAATAAAAAAAAAAAGAGGAGAAAGATAAAGGCATGTACGCTCTCATGATGCATGTTTTACATTTTTTAACCAGTTAACTGGGATTTTAATGGTTAAATTCGGTCAACTAATTGCTAACAGAGCTAATAGGGCTGAAATATTGAAACAAATATTCAAATGGTTCAAAAAAATTCCTTCAATCATTTTTTTACTGATTCAAACTAGGATTTGTTAAATGCTCGCTGCAGCCCGTGGCCTGCCTGAACAACAACAAACACATGTTGATCAAGTTCACATAATAATAAATAAAACAACTCTACAAGCAGAAGAGAACTCCCCAGTCACCACCAACTATCCTGTTTATTTATTGCAGATGGCTGCACTGATTATTTTTTACATGATTTGTTCTGTAAAAGTTGGCATTTTTGGTAGTCTACAGTTTTTTTATGTCAGTTTAAATTACAATTTCAGAGGCAATTCTAAAATATTATGGATCATGATAAAGATCTATTGGAGATCTACCCCAACTTTTGGACTGCTCTGCCAGTCACTGTGGCTCAAGCTGAGAGGAGCTTTTCAAAACTTGATCAAGTCATACCTGAGGTCAACTATGTTTCAGGGGTGGCTCACTAACCTGGCTCTGATTAGTATCAATCACTCAGTAGGGGAGCAGATTTCATATGATGACATTATTGATGACTTTGCATCAAGGTTAAGTTTTAATTTTAGTTTGTGTTTTCTATTCTAAGTGCAATGCTGTAGCGATTATCTTTAGTTTGTTATGTGTGAAATATTTTTGCTATTTAGAATATTTATTATATATCATGTTCATATATTCTTAATTTTTAGTTATTGTTTGTTTTTTTACATTCTGACAGCTTCATTTCCAGGTTGAAGGATTGGATCACAAAAACTAAATATTTTAATGAAAAAAAGTATCTCTGTAGTGGTAACGGTAATATTTTATCATAAATTGTGCCTACCATTGCTCTGGAAGGTGCAAAAGAGCATGATACAGGTCCTTTAACTTGATCTAAATGCAACCAGAAAGTTGAAGCTGAAATAAACCCTTTACCCTTCTTTGAATGTTTCCAGGAAAAGTTTTGCCTCCCTCCTGTGTCCGGAATCAGTATCACAAAGAGGATGAGAATAACCCTCCTTTTATTTTTATCTTGTTATTTTTATCAGATGCTCTGACAGAAATAAAAATCTTGTCTTGTGGCCAAGAAATATAACATAAGTCCCTTACCAAAACCATTTCCTTCCACTTGTTTTTATGGTCTGAAAACCAAAATACATTAAAGAAGATTTTTACCTTTCTTTTTAGGATCAAATGCTTGTTGGACAAACTCAGATTTTGGAATTTTCAGTTAAAATTTGTTTTATTCATGATTAAAATTAATTTGGTTGAACTGAGTGGGATAGCTTTCATTTTCCCCACCTCTCATGACATCAATGGATTTTCTTTTTGCATCTGAACACATATTATATAGAAATACAGAAAAAATGATGAGGTCTTCAGATACCTGGATCAGGGATGGAGCCCTCTGCACATCATCCACTCACCAAGGCCGGATGGCAAACTTGGCACAGGCCCAGGGGCCCACAGCCATAAGGGGGCCCACGCGAGCAGCAGTTTTTTAAAATGTATTTCTTTCTCTCTTTTTTTTGTGCAGCAGTCTTAACGTTGGAGAAAAAAGTTGACAAGTAATTAAAATTGCACCCACATTTTCTAAGTTAGCACACAGTTCTTTTAACAATGGTAGTTTTTTCATCTTTCCTGTTCCCTGCTTCAGCCCTCTCCCCCCTCCCCCTGTGCAGCGGCCGCAAACTCACTGATGCGCCTGCAGCCTCTCAGAGTTCCTGCTGATCTAAACATTAAAATAATTATTTCATTTTCTGTTCCTCGCTTCTGATTACCTTCAATGGTGTCTGTTTGTTGCAACCACCAGGTACAAAAAGGAACTTGTTTTTATTTGACTATTTTCTGTCCTGTCTGTTTATTATCTGCATCTCATCTCAATCCTAAAGAAAAATGGCTACCTGGCTTCATATTTTTCACCTTATGAGTTACCTTTGAACTGCAGTTCAAAAAGATCTACCGACCGCAAAAATAGCGGAGTGCACCGGCAGTTTAACGGTGCGCGCTGACCACACCGGTTAGGTCAGGTGAACTCATGAAACGATGTGAGCCAACATAAAAGATTGCGTGTTAAATTTGTTTTTGAGGTGGTGACACTTTGATAATGTTACTGTGGCCGTGCTCAGGACGCATCTGTCTGGAGCGCATCAACGATCAGAGCTCTGCGCCTCTCAGCTCAAAAAAATCCACAGAGAGTCCACATAGATAATGTAATATAAATAGAACCAGGATCGTTTTCGGGCACATTGTGCCCAGGGGCCCTTGCAATGATAATCCGGCCTTGCCACTCACAGGTCGGTGCTCCACAGCCACTGAAAAATAAGGTTAAAAAGCTGGAAGGCTGAAGCACTCAGATGAGTAAAGGTTTATTAGATGTGAGTAAAGAATAACATTTCTACACTGTATAAGTCTTCGTCTTCGGAAATATACAGATGTGAACAGTTTGAATGAAAAATAATTTTCCTGTTTTGGCCTTTTTTCTGAAAACTCCCAAATAGTATTCAACAGTCTGAGATCTTGCTACACACTCCAGGACATTCTAACTGCACATAAATCTAATTTAATAAAACCAGAGTACACATTAAACAAAAAAATTCAATGGTTTCAAAGTGCTGCTGTTTCCAAAACACTTCATTGGCTTTTACAGACACCTTCCTCAACAAACTGAATGTGCAGCATCACACAGAGACATCTAAATTAAGCATTCTACGTAACAACTTAGCTATTCATTGAGAAAAAAAACTACCTATGCACACTCTTTTGGAAACACTGCATGGTAAACTTATAACATAAATGTAATTAGACTTGTTTTAAGGTGTGGGATTGTGGCAAAAATAGAAAAAGATAGAACCTATCCTATCTTTAGTGATGCAACGCTTCAGGGTCACGGCCTGTTTGAATCACCCCTACAGACAAGGATTCTATTTGAAGCACCCAGGCGTTGCTTCCGCATCGCTGATGCTTGCAGAGTGAAGTTGGGTTTAAGGTAAAAAATCCCTGGCAGCGCAACCTCCAGCAAAACAAGAAGCATGTCAGACTCCCTTTCATCACTGGCAACGAGTGAAGAGGTAAATGTGTAAAACAATGTATAGGAATGGTGAAAGTTTTGTAACCATTTGGTACAAATCATTTAATGCATTTTGTCCTCACAGACTTCCGTAGAAGGAAACATGACATCCAACATGGCGTCGGCCAGAGTCTTAGACCTGCTCCATGTATTTCAGAACAGATTTTTATGGTTATCTGTTATGAAACTGCTAATATTTTTCAATAACTGGGCATCTTTTAAGTCATTTACTACAACATTTTGATGGATATTTGCAGAGATTAATGGTACTAACTACACATTGTCACTTTAAATATTTGATGTTGATTTTCTGCATTTAAGCTTTTTTGGAAGAAATTTTTGCTGAAAAATAATCAATTACATAATTTCACTGAATGAAATTAAAATGTCATCAATTTTATGTTGAAAAAAATGTCATAATCTGGTGAGACTGTATTGCAGACAAATGTCCACATGCAGGTCTATTTCTTCATCTCAAAAAGTAGTACCAAACAAAAATATATCAACTGAACATCAGAACTGTCATTATTTGGCATTTTGAGAAAGAGGAAAGGTAGATGAAGAGTTTAATGTACAATATGTGCATAGAATGTAAACTTTGTGTCATTAAAAGAGTAAAAACCCATACTTATCAATCAATCAACTTTTATTTGTATAGCACTTTCCATCATCCTCAAGGGGGATCCAAAGCGCTTAACACAGCACAAATAAAACTTAGAAACAAGACACCAATACAACTAGGATCAAAAAGAAAAAAATAAATAATAGCAAACAAAAATAAAAAGCTATTAAAATCTGTTAAAACCAGTCACAGAACAGATTAGGTGAAAGCCAGATCATTAAAATAAGTCTTCAAGCGATTCTTAAAAGCAGCCAAAGGTGGAGACAGCTTGATGTTAAGAGGTAACTTGTTCCAGAGGGACGGAGCTAAAACAGAAAATTCCCTATCCCCACATGTCCTACACCTATCATTTCCATAATTACATTTTAATACCATCTGATAATATCTGACATCCCTAATCAAAACCCACGGTTCAATCAGGAGTTGTATTTTATGGCTGTTGGGAGTACAGTCACTGTGAATACATATTTTAAGAACATGCAAGAACATAAAACTCAATGGTTGACAAAACTCCAACCACTATTGGCCTCAATAGTTCAGGTAGACTTCACAGTGGGGTTCACATGGGCAAATGAAGTATCTCTTTCTCACACCACTGGAAAGTGTTGCTAACTCCACATGAACGCAACAATTATCAACACCAGCTGAGCTCCCAGCACAGCAGCCACAAACCCAACATGCCTTTGCTTTACAAGAATAAAAGATGTCAACATCAAGAGTGAAAAACACGCCAACATGAAAACATTTCCTCCATGCCAAAGCACCAACTTCACGATAAAAGGGGTTTCTGTTGGATTGGGATACAGTTTGCAGTTTTGGTCCGTTCTTGGTGTTTTGGTGCTTTGTAGTTTGTAGACCACTCTGCACCACGGATCATTGGTCACAATATCTGTGACCTTAAAAACCTCATAGGTGGGAATGAGCACCTGTCCCCGTTGCTTACTGCTGGAGTAGTAGGTAATGTCACCACCAAAGCATGTGAAGATCTCGAAGCAGGAGATGTTGTTATAAGACCAAGACGGCTGCTTGCTTGAACTCGCCCATATAAAAGCACCAAAACGCACATTCGTGTTGACAATGTTTTGGTCAAAGCGTTCCCCCGTCCGGTGATACACGGTTCTGCATGATGTCGGATATTTACTCAGAGCTTGGACAGCGTCTGTCAAGTAGTAATAAAAGTAGTGAAACCTGAATCTTCCTGTGCTGTAGTTGTCTTTTCCCGTTTTTAAAGCTTTGTTGAAAGTTTGCCGGATGCTTGCATATCTTGTGAAAATGTACATGACTACGGCGTGGTCGTCTTTCAGGTGCTTGTGCACGGGTTTCTTTGCCTTTTTTTCAACTAAAGCCCAGGCGTAGCTAAAGTTGATGTTGACTTGCCACTCAAACACACCAAACAAGTCAATCGCGGAAGCTGTTGCAGACCGACAGCCATCGAACATGTCATCGATGGACTCAGACGCCATATCCAGGGGTGAAACAGCCATCTTAGTACCCTGTGACAGATTAAAACATGTTTTATTCTAAGGAGACGATAATGTTTCTAACTACATCTAGCAAAGTTAACATTACTTTTTATTTGAAAGAAAGAACATTACTTTTTATTTGAAAGAAAGCACAATCTCACCTCTGCAGGTGTCTGAGACCACCTGATTAACAGAAAGATTTCAAAATACACCAGGAGCACCACCAACACCAACGCCACACAAACGCCCGCCCAGTTTCTCAGGAGTCGTCCTCCACATCCTGACTGGTTCATAAACGCCATATCTGAGTGAGTAAAACATTAGAATTGATCAGCTGTCAACATGTGTGGGTGAGGAGCCTATCACTGGTGAGAGATCAACAGGGAGGCAGGCAGGTAAGATGAACCAAACTTTTATTAAAGAAGGCTCCAGAGCTGAGCAGACAGACAAACTATTTGCACAAACTTGAGGCAATAAGATACACAAAGCAAGTATCTGACAATGACATCATCGAACACGGGGGTTACATACAGGAGGGAATCAGGAACAGGTGAGCTCAGAGGCAGGTGTGATTCCTTATGGGGAAACAGGAAATGAAAACACTGAACAGCAGCTGGGAAGCAGCATGCATGTGATTTAAAATACTGCAAAAGATTCATGTAAAGCTTCAATTTGCATACCAGGATAAATAATAAATGTCTTGCAAAGACATCACTACATCAGTTAGCTATAAATTAAAAACAACCATACCTTTCTCCTGCTACCAGCACGACATCCTTTTTGAGTCAGAGAAGTGACGAGCACTGCTAGTGTTTACAACAAGTTCTGCATAACAGGATATACAGGTAATATTCCCCAGCATGCACCATGGTGTCCACCTTTTCTCCTGGTTATTATGTTCCTTATCTTGCATGTGATGTTTGCACAGTGGTCGGTGTTTGGTGAGGAACTCAGCAAAAGTGTTTATCCACTCCTTTATTGAAACCTTCTTTACATTTTCAAACTGTTTTCCATACTTGTGTGAGTAAAAGCTTCGCTTTGTCCGTTTCCACTGTGCACAAACAGCGGGGAATTCCATTTGTTGTGAAACTGGCAGATCCTGTTTGGGAGCTAAAGGGCAAACACAAGGAGGAGTTGTCAGGAAACAAAACCTTAACTTAAACAGACTCTCGGGATGAGGTAAGCTGCTAAATATTGTATTAAGTTATAGTTTTCTAAAGTGCTTGTTTTTGAAGGGAATATCTAAAGCTTCTGTATGTTTCTATTTCTGATATCCAATTTTAAAAAAGTTTTTTTTTTCAACAAAGATTCTTGTTATAATTGTTGCTTATTTGCTAGTTGAAACACCTTTAGCTAGGCATTACAAACATTTCCATCTTAATTCCAGAGCAGATGGTTCAGATACAAATACGCCTATATTTATCCAGACTGTCTTTAAGAGTTCTTCCAGGTGAAATGATGGATTTATCTTTTTGCAGATGGACCATGCCACCCGGGAAGAGTCAGAACTGTCAGAAAACATTATTGTCTGCTTGCCTCATTATTTCCTGTGTTGTTTTAGAAGGTCTACTAATATATTTGGTTGCACATCTGTTGCTAAGCTGGACGGATGTTGTACGACAGGTATTTAACTTTTTTTAATACAATCTATTATTATTAACGTTTCAGAGATCAAATGTGGTATATTTGGAATTAAAGGTGTGGTTTACTTGTTTATTCAATACATTTGCAGTGTTCTTTAGTGTAAATCAATGCCGTATGAGTCATTAAAAAAGCTGTGATGCTTCTGTTCTGATATGCAGAACTTTGCTACTGCAGAGGTGGGCTGAAAACAGCTGGATTACTCATTATTATTATTAACGATATGCACACACCTCGCTTCTGATTTGCTAACAGAATGCATTCAGTGATGATGCAAAGTCACCATCGTAAAACAGTTTTCGCTCTCTCTCCTCGCTGCAAAAATGTATTTATTTTTTCAAAGCCTTCCTGTGGGTGGGCGCAAGCCAAGATGGACGAGGCCATGAATGCAAATTCACAGTGAGACATAGATATGTGAGGATTTTCAAATCCTAACATTTCACCGTCTATTTTTTGTCAGAAGCTAACACAGGAGATAGGTGTAGGAGACTGTTTTAATGTTCAGCCTTCATGAAAACTCAGAGTGGCCGATTATAATAAGAAATAATCATTTAAAAATGTTTTTTCAGTCAACAACACCTTTAAAGTTATTACAAAATTCCATTTAGTTTTTTTCAGACAAGGCAGCTTTAATTATATTGAGCATTTCAAACACGGGGCATTTCAGTGTGTTTTTAAGCCGGGCGTACACTGTGCGACTTTTTCACTTTTTTGAGCCGATTTTCCACTCGTGCGAGAATCCACAAGGTCGGGGCGAGTTTTGCGCTGAGCGTCCTGTAGTATACAGGGGGTCACGAGAGGTGATTAACACCACGTGATCAGCTACCGATCAGCAATCGTGAGCTCGCACGGACTTCTGAAGTGTTTGATATTTTGCTCGTTCTTCGTGAGGGTTGAAGCGGCCCATTTAGTGGCTGCAATCCAAAAAGTACCAGAACTGCTCACGGCACATGCGCAATCATGCATCAACACCATTTTTATTTCTACACGTTTTTTTTTACACACAATGACAAGGATTGCCAAGAAAGCGTGTTTGTTGTGTTCATGTCAAATTAAATTGATCACAAAAGACAGATTTACTTTCTTTATTTCGTTTTCGTCATCCAACCCCCATAACTCCCTGTGTGTCCTCCTGCAGCACTCCCGAAGGACAACAAGCAAAACAAGACAAAAAAGTCTGACGTGTTGTGTAAAAACTGCTATTTTTTAGCATATTTTTAGGTCCAACGTGTTGCTACCAGACGTACAGTGTGAGCAGTCAGGTCGCATCCGAGAACTGGGTCGTACAGTGTGAGCACACGACTCGTGAGATCTGCCCTGAGAGGAAGTCGTACGGTTTGACCTGAAGCTGAGTGCTACGAGTGAAAAAGTCGCACAGTGTACGCCCAGCTTTAGGTGAACAGTCATGAAATGTGTTTATTGTTTCTATTATCTTCTGCCATCTACTGGATACTTAAGGAATTACATTTTTTCTTCTTTTCAGAGCTCTAATCAGGATTTGACAAAAAACCACAGTGAAAACACATTTGGCTGCACATCCAAACTCACCGTTGTGACCGACGAGGCCCTGAGGCAAAAATGGGAAGCCTGCAGCGCAAACTTCAGTCAAGCCTGGAAAAATTTGGAGCAAAGCTGGAAAAGACCTCCTCACAGCTACTTGGAGACCCAACATTCATCAGCGTTACACCTTTTTACTTCTGTGATCCTACAGCCTGTTAACCGGGTTATTCATCCTGCTGACAGAACGCCCAAACAAAAACACACTTTTGAGTTGTTCTCTCTTTTTTCTACTTTAAGTGAAGCTATTCAGATTATTAAACACAATCAGGTGATGTGTTTAAATACAATCTACAGGACAGAAACTGTTTTACTGCACAACGTCTTGGACCAACTGGTTCGATTCGACACTTTTATTTTAGGATCAGATGAGCCGAACGTAACAGGAAACGTTTCCTGTTTTGAGATATACTCGTGCTTCGGAGCTGACGTAACACAATACTCTGCTCTAAACCTGAAGAAACAAATGCTGATTCCTCCTTATGAGGTGTTTATGGTGACTGATATCCAGAATCAGACAGATTCATGTAAAGTTATTTATAAACTCAGAAGCAACATGAACTGTGTTTATGACAGAGACAGCAACAGGATGCATTCAATATCTGCTTTTCCAATGGAGGGGTTCTGGCTCATTTTTACCATCATTTGCTTGATAACACTGTCTCTTTTATTACCTTGTGTTTTTAAATTACACCATGAGTTAATTATGGCGTACAGATGTTCATCTGTGCACTGCACTGCAGTCATGTTGTAACCTAAAGGGTCAATTACAAATTCAAGTACGTACAAGACAGAGAAAGTAAGTTATGAAATAATGATTATTAAAACTTGAAATCTATAATAAATACCCCGAACAATAGTAATGTGTGGTTTGCATAAGTGAGGGTGAGATGACAGCACCTGTGACTTCAGCTGCAGGCAACTGAACGTCCAGCAGAGGGCAGATGTTCAACTCTCTGGCTCAAACTAGTGATGGGAATTTTGGCTCTTTTTAGAGAGTCGGTTCTTTTGGCTCATCTCACCAAAAAGAGCCGGCTCTTTCGGCTCCCAAGTGACTCCTCAGACTTTCTGTTGCGTAAAGTATATTTATCACCAAAAATAATGCAAAACTATATGTAAAATGATTTACTAATATAAAAAAAGCAATAAACCAAATATTTTTCATTTATATGGATTTATTTACTGAACAACACTTTAAGAAATCTCAACTTTCCGACTGCTGGCGCTCATTTTCTCACCATCTTCGTCACACTCTCCTCTCGCTCGCCTTTTCCCTCCTCCTCATTCCCTCTCGTCACCCTCCACCCGCATGTGCTCTGCTGTGTGTCTGAGTCTGATCCTCCCTCTTCCCCGCCCCTACTGCTCTGTGTGTGGACAGTCGACACGCAGTTACACATGTTGACCAATCGCCTGTAGCTTTCAACAAAGCGGGGGGAGGGGGGGGATGTTTGACGGCTCCCAATGACGAGCCGGCTCCCGTCGCTCACTTCATAGAGCCGGCTCTTAGAGCTGGTTCGTTCGCGACCGACACATCACTAGCTCAAAGTCATTGCTTCTGACCTGTGATATGGTAATATGATGCATATTTATGTTTCTTTATGTGGTAGAGGCTTTTATCCAAAGCAATGTACTAATTTTAACCTATAGGGCGTGTTGTGATCTGTGGGGGAAATCGGAGTACCCGGATGAAACCCACGCATGCATGGGGAGAGCATGCAACTCCAAGCAGAAAGTTTGCAGCCGAGTTTCGAATCTGCAACCTTCTCGCTGTGAGGCAACAGTGCTAACAACTGTGCCACCATGCGTGCATGATTTATCATCAAGGATTTAGAGCTTTTGTATTCTGTTTAACTTTATCTAACCACTAAATTGTGTAAAATGCAAAACTCACACGTTTTCAACCTTGGACAAAAAAGGTAGGTGATGGATGGTTAGGGTCCCTAAAAGCTGTGCAGAGAATAACGTGCTTTATAGTTGATGTCACAGCACAAGTGCTGCTGGGTGCTAGTGCTAGACAAACAAACTGCATTTGCCAATTAAAAAAACACAGGCAGAACTTTTTCACATTGATAAAAACAAATTGACATTAACAAAAATCACATTTTTATGCTCAAACGCATTACTCACAATTCTCAAATTTTCTCTCGTCTATTTGTGTACTCATAGGTTATTATTTGCGCCACTACTTTTCACACACCTCCCACCCAAGCCCCCACAATGCGGGTGAAAAATTGAAGCAAACGCGGAAATTAAATAAATTGCAGTTCCACCCTCATCTGCTGGGGGCTGGTTTCAGAAGCGAGCAAATCCTCATTGACTCCCATGTTAAAAATACCAATTTCACAGCAGAAATAAACATGTTTACAGCCTGGTTCCAAAACATGTTTTTTGTTTAAATGATCTAGTTTACACTCATGACAACTCTGAGGGGGGTGAATTTTTTTCTCACTCTTCTGTTTAAGTGTATTAAAAGCCTAAAATTCTGTATAATTAATGAGCATCAGACCCACGTGACCACAGAGCTAGCTCCGTGGAAAGGCCTCAGTACAGCCTCGGCCTGGCTTGGATACTGCTCCGGGATTTTGAGTCTCTGTGTTTGTGTATTCTTGTTTGGATATTTTTTGTGCAATTGTTGGACAAAATGACTTGCTGTGGCATAAATTGCACTAATAGAGCGTTCAAGGAGTCTCCACTTCATTTTTTTCGGTAAGTAAAATTATTTTTATGTATTTTAGGTCACTGCTGAGCTGAGCTGATGGCTGATTCTGCCAGCAGCTCGGCGCATCTGTCTGATCGCGGCTTCTGTTAGCTGCGCGGGCTGACGGCTGGTTCTTATGGCAAGCCAGAATCGCCAAAATACGCCACTTCTCCCCGCAGCTCGGCGCATCTCTGTCTGATTGCAGCTTCTGTGTGCTGCGCGGGCTGACGGCTTGTGGAGCTCTGGGATGGAAACCTTTCCACCCGGTTCTCCCCAGCGGCAGCTCTGCGCATCTCAGATTGCAGCGGTGCTTGTCTGCTGTGCGGCTGCCGACTTGTGGAGCTCTCGGAGACCTCTGTGTTCCACCCGGTTTTTTCCAGCGGTCAGCCCGGCGTATCTCTGACTCAGAAGCTCTGGTGTTGTGCACAGTTAACTCCAGTTGTAGCTAGGTTGCTACCTCCGTTAGCTTAGCTCCCACCATCGCATTGGCTTTGGGTTAGCTTCAGGTTAGCTTGTAGCTAGTTCGACCGGGTGTCGTCAGTCGATCCCAGCCTTACAGCTCCACCTCTCTTCCCTTTTTTGGAATTGTCTGGGCTTGACGGAACCTAGACACAGTCAAAATGGCGGTGGTGGCCACCTCCCAATTTAGCACAAAAACTTGTTATTGTAGTCTATGGAAACCCATTGTCCATATATTTATGTCGATGGTTGAAACTAAAATATGCGAGATAGAGGCCCTTGATGGACCAGAGTTCCCCACCCCTGCTTTAGAGCATGATTAACTCAAACAAGAGGAATCATCATCCATTTTGACGATAAATAAAATCTGCTTTACAGTGAATGTTAAATTGTCCTCCTCCTGGAAATTCACTTCAAACCACTTCTGGGCCTTGAAGCGGCCAAATAGAGTATCAGAATTTGCACCCTCATCAAAAACCTCCTAGATCCAGATCCAGTTCGGGTGAATGATTGTGGAGTAAAGTGCTTTGGAGTCCTCTGACTCTGAAAGGTGCTGTAAGCTCCTGAGCTACTGCTGCTAACTATGCATCATGCTTCTATGAGGGAAAACAAACATGTAAACAAGTTGGATTCCACATCTTTTGAATGAATGTGGAAGGTTGCAATAAAATATGACAAACATAGCTATCGTCCCAAAAACTGTATTTTACAGTTTGCGGTAATGTTATTTTGAATGAACTCAAAATCAAGAGTAATTGAACAGTGTAGTTTAATAGCCTTTCCCTGTGGAGTTTGAATCCAACAGTTGTATTCTGATCATGAGGTGTTGCTGCTGTGAAGGCCAGTGTGAAGCTGGAGAGTTTTGTCTCTGGACGGTGGACATTGGGACGAATCTGTCAGTGTTCTTTTTGTATTATCATCAGAACAATACAAAACATTTTTTTATTCTGTTAATTTAGGACTTTTACAGTCACAGTAACTGGGTGGAGCTTGGAAACAAGACTCCCTACAGCACTCTAATCAGACCAGACCAGCCTTTTACAAACCTGGCAGGTGGGTGAACTTCCTTCTGTGTTTGAGTGAATTTATTTTGTGGTCCGTTTACTTACTTTTTTGTGTTTCTTATTATTTTTAGGACCTAATACTCCAACATGCAGAAGCTGTGTAAATGGTGATTGCAAGAACAACCTCCTACCAGAGCTGATGAGAAAGAGTCTTCTTACCTCAAGCTACTTTCACATGTTCTCTCCTGCAAAACCTCCAGGTAATTTTGAGGGATTTTATTCTTCGTTTTATGCTTCCATTCATCCCTTTTTCTATGCTTATAGGGTCGGGTTGCGGGGGCAGTAGCCTAAGCAAGAATGAGATTTTCATTGGTGCACTGGAAAAAGTCCTTCCTAAAGCCAGAGACACTCTTGGTCAGCTTCCTTCTCACACCAAACCCTCAGTCAGAATTCTTGGTGTGACCTTTGACCAAGCTCTCGCCCTCTCGCTCTTGAGGTTCTGGTTCTGGTCTTTAGGGCCTTACATGGACAAGCACCATACATACACTTATGATCTTCTCAGTCCCTACACCCCCAGCAGGCCCCTGAGGTCCAGCGATCAAAGCCTACTGGTTGTGCAGCGCACCAGGCTAAAGCCCAAAGGTGACAGATCATTTGCTGCTGTGGCCCCCAGACTCTGGACCTCTCTCCCCCTGAGCCTGAGATCAGTGGACTCAGTGGTTTTCTTTAAAAAGCAGCTGAAAACTCACTTGTTCAAGCTAGCTTTGACCTCTTGTTCATCCTTTTTTTCCCACACTGGCTTCTTTTCATGCTGCTGTTTCTGTGTATTCAGTATTTTTCAGGCTTATCTTAATCTTTACTTTTTTATTTTTTTATTTGATTGTAACGTCAACAAAGTTTTCTATCCAAGCAACACAATTAACACCATTTTCTCTATTATGATTTTTTTGACATTTAAAAATATAGTGTTTCTTTTGAAGCACCTTGCGATTCTTATCTTGAGATACAGTTGGTCTTTCTGCTGCCCCCCCCCCCCCCCCCCCCCCCCCACGCCGCAGGCTCATTCTTCTAGCAGAGGCGTAGGCATAATTTCAGCTGGCCAATCAGTCCGTAGTGTCACCTCGGTCCCAGTCTGACCACTGGGGAGAAGGTCTGAAAAAAAGAGTCACCTCAGAACCGAAAACGCAAATCGAACCTGTGTGTGAAACCAAATTCCGAACTGACGCTAATGTGTAAGCACCAATAGTCTCCCCAACGTGTCCTGGGTCTTGGTTGGGCGTGTCCAAAAAGCCCCACCAGGGAGGCATCAAGGAGGTATCCTAAACAGATGCCTGAGCCACCTCAACTGTGGAGGAGCAGCAGATCTATTCAGAGCCCCTCCCGGATGACTGAGCTTCTCGCCCAATCTAAAAGAAAGCCCAGACACCCTGCAGATAAATCTATTATTGGCCTTTTGTATCTTGTTCTTGTGGTCACTAACCAAAGCTTGTGACCATAGGTGAGGTTTAAAACATAGATTGATATATATCAAGAGCTTCAACTTTTGAATCAGCTCTCTCCCCACGATAGACCGGTACAACACCTGTACATCTGTGGACGTAGCACATGTCTACTTAGCAATCTCCCACTCCATCTTTCCTTCATTTGTGAACAAGACCTGAGACACTTAAACTCCTCCACTTTGGGTAGGACCTCATCCCTGGCCCGGAGAAGGCCTTCTACCCTTTCCCAGTTCAAGATCCTCCTGTTGAATCCAAGGTTTGACTATCCATCAGACCTTTCACTCCAGAACCTTTGAACAGACCTTAGCAGGGAGGCTAAGGACTGTGATCCCCTGTAGTTGGAACACACCCTGCAGTCCCCCTTTTCCATAGGGGACCACCATCCTGGTCTGCAAATTCAGCGGAACTGCTGCCGACGTCCACGCAGTATTGCAAAGCCAACACACCCCCACAGCATCCAGACCCTTAAGGAACCTTGAGCAAATCTCATCCACCCTTGGACCCTGCCACCGAGGAGTTTTTTGACCACCTCGATCAGCATCAGAGATTAGAAATCCTGACCCAAAGTCTTCTTGTTCCTCGCTGGAAGATGTGCCAGTGGGATTGAGGAGGTCTTTGAAACACTCCACCGAATGCTTAATGTCAAAATTTCCAACTTTCAAAATATTACTTTTCTTTTAGGTAAATGCAGCCACGGTGGCCAGTTTGACCGGACAAGCAGGACGGATCCAGTGGGCGGCATTCATAAGGATTACATTAGCGCGGGTTTTCTCCACCTTGAAGCAGCTTATCTGGCTGTGAATGCCACCATGGAGTTACTGGAGGACATCAGATTAGCTATAGGAGATACAAATTTTCTGAGGTATGAAAGAGCTCTATGCAACTAATTTCACGACACATTTCTGCAGAATCTTCTATTGAAATATGTAGGCCTCAGACTGCAAAAACAATTGTTATATAAAATAAAATTTAGAGAAGTGGAAGTCAGAAGAAGAATCAATATCTCTGGTATTTGTTTTGGTTACTCCATTGCAAAACTTTGGCTTTTCCTGCGTAATTGAAAACGAAAACAAATAAAAACATTGATAAGATTTTCATTTTCCATCTTGTGGCTGCAGACTGATGGGCATTCCTCAGTCATCTGTGCTGTGTTTCGTTATTGACACCACAGGCAGAATGAGTGAAGACTTCGCTAAAGCAATATTGATATTATTGACGGTAAAAGAGGAACCCAACAAGAACCCTCGGTTCCATTTAATGACCCTGGTAAGTTCTTCCAGAGAAGGATTACAGAGGAACAGAGGCTGATGAAGACTGTTAATATCTTGTGTTAAACACACAAGATTTGGACCTCTCAGTGTGACAAATAATGCAGATGTGTTTAAGTCCAAAATCAACAAGTTGTCCGCAGGTGGAGGAGGAGACATCCCAGAGTTGTGTTTATCTGCCTTAAAGGTGATCACGTTTATTTTTTTATTTACATAAATATGTTCCATTTGGTTTTTATATGTTTTAATTTCTTCATGAAAACTAAATGTAAATAATTTGCCGTATCTTTGATAGCTTGCTCTGACAGCAGCACCACCCTATTCTGAGATCCTCGTTTTTACAGATGCTCCAGCTAAAGATGCCTATCTGAGAAACACCCTCATTGCTCTCATTGAGAGCACCAAGTCGACTGTATGGCTTCTCTTTTACTCCTCTTTTCTGTCAAAAATGATTCAGTCCTTCTACCGTCCTGTTTGTGAGGTAGGTTGTTATTTATTTTTTACCTTTCTTGTTTTTAGGTGACATTCATGAAGACCCATGCTCCAGCTCGTGGCCGACGCCACAGGAGCTTCCCGGGTGTGAGTCCACGTTCAGTTGGTCACTCTGATGCCCATCTGTATAATGAGCTAGCTGAAGTCTCTGGAGGTCAGGTCATTGAGGTTACTAAGTCAGATCTCTCTCTGGCCACAAGTATTATAGAGGATTCATCAACCAGCGCTGTGGTAGGACATTGTTACAGAACAAAGATAATTGTGTTTTTTTATGTTTCATACAAGTGTTTTTAAGGTTTTTTTTATCCTACTTTCAGGTGACAGTGTTTCAGGTTGTGAAAAACCCTGGAAGAACTGAACATTTAAATTTTACTGTTGATGATTCATTAATGAACGGAAACATCTACATCACAGGAGCACCATCTATCACCTTCAGTCTTACCAGCCCCACAGGTTTTATGATGCTTTCATATTTTTATTTTTTGTCATTTATAAACATTTTACATTCTCATCCCTCCTTAAGTAGGTTTGATGTGTTTTTTGTCCTCTAGGTGTTTCTCAGAGTTCTACAACGTCCAGCGGACCTTTGGCTTGGCACACCAGAGTTGGAAACTTGCATCGATTGAGTCTCAAGCCAGGCAATCCAATAGGATCATGGCAAATCAGAGTTAACTCAAATAACTCCTACTCTGTCAAAGTTACAGGTTAGTAATCAGAATATCGGTAATCAGAATTCATTATTTTTTTGGTTTATTCAAAAAGCAGTCATGTTTTTGTTGATTATCAACATTTAAAAAAATGTTCTCTTTGTGGTTGTGTCAGGTCAAAGTTCAGTGGACTTCATTTATAATGGAAGCTCGTGAAGAAGCCAACGGGGACTTAAGTCTAAAGGAGGGACGTCCTCTTTCAGGTCAGACGACTATAGGGATTGTTGGGACCTTTACTTCTGGAGACTTGAGATGTGAAATGAAAACAGCTCTAACCCTAACCTGCAAGTCATCTAAAGGTTTCTCTCTTCCAGGTGGAAATGTCACCCTCTTGGTCTCTGTGACAGGAAGTGACACCATTAAAGTCAACGAAGTCACTCTTTATGATGGCTCAAAACCAACAGAGGTCAAAGGATCTTTCCAGGTGTGTGAAACATTAAAGTTTTTTTGTCTGCAGTAATTACAGTGTACATCACTTTATATTCTATATTTAAGCACACAGAAGTTGTTTTTTCTATCTGTGGTCCCTTGGACTTAGATTTTCCTTTTTTCCAAACTAAACTATCTACAGTTTCACAATGTTGTAATGGTAACTGCTCTCCTTGCAAAATTTCTTGTCCAACACAGTCAGTTGGTGATGATGACTACCTGGTGACATTTACGGCACTTGCAGCTGGTGATTTTGTGCTTGTTCTGAAAGGAGAAGAAAGCAGCTCCACATCCCCTTCAACTCCTGGCAGCTTCCAGCGACAGGCTTCCACAAAACTCAAGACCTCCAACATCTCTGTCTCAGTGAGAGCATTCACAGCTTATCTTCTCTCTCAATGAAGGACTCGCCACTTCATCATTTACTACGCTCAAGACACTTTTTTTCAAACCAGTGAACTAATATTACATTTATATGAACACATCTTATTACTTTCTACTTCACTGGAACGCTCTCCCTTGCACCTGAGATAAGTGGACTCTGTGGTCTCCTTTAAGAAGCAGCTAATAACTGATGTGTTCAGACTTTTGCGTGACCTTCAGTTCATTCTTCATCACTAGCCTCTCCTCATCTAGCTCTTTCTACCAATTCTGGCTTTCCCAAAATCCACGGATTACATTTTTTAAATTCATTTTCTTTTAGCCTTTTCTCACATTTTTTAACCACAATTTTAACTTTTCTAATTTTGTGAATTTTTTATTAATAAAAATGTTTTTTTTACTTTTAATATTTTGTTCTTGTGAAGCACCTCGTAATCTGTACGTTGAGAGCTGCTATATAAAAGATAATTTCTTCTTTTTTTTACTTATAAATTTGTTCATTTTTTTATATCCTAAATTTAACAATTTAAAATTCTTACTGAGATTAAAAACTATCAAATGTTGCACCATAGGTTTCTTTTACACATGAAGCTTTTTACGTGTGAAACTTTTTTTTAAGTCTTGGTTTTTCTGGCCTATTTTTGTTTTTACTGAACTCCCTTCTATGCTATGTAACAATGCACATTAACATTCCCAAAGATGTTAATGAAGACTCTACAAAAACTTTATTTTTGAGTTTAAATTTCCCTACTTCTCTCTCAACTCTTTTCCAGGCCCAAGCCAATGTTAGTGACATAGAACCTGGCTCTACCATTTCCATCCCTTTCACAGTTGCCATGACTACCAATGGAGTTGTCAGTGATTCTGCAGCAGAAACATTAACAGTTAGAGCCAACAACGACCGTAGCTACGCTTCCACCGCACCAAACACCATCATTGTTGGTCCGGGCACTGGAGGCAAAGCTAACAGCGTTGTGGCCTTAACAGTTCCAGCCAGCGCTGCATCGGGAACAGATGTTACACTAATTATCGAGGCACAGAATGCAGCCGGGACTGACATCAACTACACCATCCTCAGGTTCTCAGTGGTTGCCAAGGTGAGAGAAATAAAAAAGGAGGAGAACGCTTTATTTCAAACAACACTTTCTGCTAGCTGCCTGATTATGATAAAAAATGTGTTGGAAAAAAGCAACTTTAAAATCTGATTTTAGAGTTGTGATCCAGTTTTCCCCATTTTAGGAACTGATATTTTTTAGAAAATCTGTAAGTGATACTCTTACCCTGTATTGTGATGTGATGTGCAATACGGACAGTTTTTTCCTAAGCCAATCCCCCCAATTCTATAGTCCCTCATGCAATTTGAATTGAGCATCATTCAGCATTAGCCGATAGCATTCAGAATCTGCTTACAGATGTCAATCGCAGAGTTTGTGTGCACATTTGCGGTCCTTGCAGATGTACCTACTGATGCAGATTTGATAAAATAAGAATATATATGTATATAAATATATATATATATGTATCAGACTGGCTCACTTTGGGCAATGGCCCACCGGAAATGTCATGGTCTGTGCTGAGCTAACACCTGTTTGAGTTTCTCTGTGTGCAGGTGGGTGTGTCTGGAGAGCAGCTGTTGTTGATCTCCTCATCAGTGGTCAGGGGATTTAAGGAGTGTCGGGACAACACATCAGCGCTGGATGATTACTCAGTATTGGGTAGTATTCTCGCCAGAACCTTGCCTGTCTTGTGTATTTCCTGTTTACCTCGCTTTGATCAAGTTAATCTGCCCTGTTACCTTTGACCTCCTCAGGTACCTTCCATTCATCTGCCAACTTCCACCACCAAGCAAGAGACTCACCGGATCATCCTGCTTACCAGCCCGTCAATCGCCCCTGACCGCCTGCTCTCCAACCCCCACCTGCCATCAGTACAACCTGGACTCCGGTGCTCAGCTCCCAGCCATTTCCTCTGCCTCTCGCCTGACCAACTCAGCCAGCCCTGACGTGCCCTCCTCTCAAAACTCTCTCTAACTAACTGGAAACCGTAAGACAAAATCTCATTACCTTTATGCCCATTGTCCTGCAACTACTCACTCTGGTTTTCTGCTGCAGAACTTCATCAGAACCTCCCGAATCCCATTCAACATCTGCATCACTCATCCAACTTTAATAAATAATTTTACTCACCTTCTGCCTGTGTGTGATTCTGCATGTCGTGGGTCAAAAGACTTCAACCCAACATGACAAGAAAGTGCCCAGTATGCCATATGGCCATTCCACCCCGGCCCTCTGTCAAAAAAAAGACTCCAGATTTTTGCTTTAATAATAAAACCTTTGTAGAATTGTATAATGTTGCAGCATCAGAGGGATGGACATGCATAAGAATCTCAAAAATATGGGAAGTTATTCCTTCAAAATAAGAAACTTTTCAAAATAAATATATTACTTTTATTATACATTTACTATATGACATTTGCATATATCCATGAAAAACTAACTAAATGTACTAATTGAAATAATTCAACAACAACAAATCTAGAACCCAAGACTGATAAAACCATAAACACATTTAACATTTATTACACATTTTATAGAAAGATATTGATCCGTGAAATGCTGGGAATTTTTTGTTTTTTGATTGTTTTATGTAGTATTTTAGTAAAAGTTAAGTTAAAAAAAATCTCCACTTATCTATATTTTTTTGTTTGTGTTTCCAGGTGACTGATTTTACTTGCCCAGTGTGCAAGGTGGTAAGAACATCAGTAAACTGTCCTCTTCCTCAGTCTGTGCTTCCTTTCAGTGGGAATTCATTGCAAATATCACGGATGGAATCAATAGAACTGGTATAGAGAGAGTATCAGCCAAGGTCTTTCAACAGTAGTTTAGTGGTTGGAGCCGAGGGTGACAACATCACGGTGGTCACCTACAGAGGCTCCTGCTGCTCACAGAAGGTGGAGCTGGCTGCTGTGGATGGAGTCGGAAGCTGTGGGGAAGTGTGTGACTACATCTTCATCCAGTAGAGGGCGCACTCGAAGCACAACTCATGCTGTCTGGATCAGTGTTGCAGTTGCTGTAGTTTTAGCAGCAGTAGTATTGAGTGTGTTCCGAATACGCAAATCCATGTCTTAATACATCAAACAACAGCAGGGGCAGCGTTAGGCCCGGCTGCTTGGGCTCAAGCCCCGAATCTTTTTTGAAAAGCCCCGGATCTCAAACGTGCAAGTAACATGCAGTACCAAAGTCCAACAGAGAGGGAGCAGCTGGCAGTAGTTTGTATAAAGCATGCCTGAGCCTCCACCACCAAAGAAGAAGCCCTTCAGCAGCCGGCAGTGTTGCCAGATGTACGATAATTATCGTATTTGTACCATAATTTTGGGCTCTGTACGATGTACGATCAATAGTTTCAAAAATCCTCAAATGTACGATAATTTCACATTGCATCTAGTAACACCATCTTTTGCTGTGGCTTTCCCAAGTCAATTATATAATTTTAAACTGTTCTGAAGTCAGATTTCACCTCAGTGCTTACAGGTTTATAAATGTCTCCTACAAACTAATGAAAAAGAGAAGTTTGAAAATGATGTGAAAAACGCTGAAATCAAGCTATGTGGCTTTTTAGCCCAGCACAACATTGCAATGAGAAGCACAGACTACTTAGTACAGGTGATTAAAGGCATTCTGCTGTGACAGACAGTGAATCAGATGAGGAGATCGAGATCAGCAACTAGGTGAGTAGGCTGCTGTGTCATTTATTGGGTCAGTTTTTCCACTGCTGTGATGTTTTGTCGCGTGCTTTTAACCTATGTAGAAATGAAATAAATAGGGCTGCGCAAATGTGCATGTTGTGTCAATGCGTGGAGGTGGGAGTGGTGCCGACACACTCTGCACGTTTATAAGCATTATATTACTGGTTTTAAAGATGTTTATTTAAACAGGGCAATATAAAACACCTTCTTTGTTATATTATATTGGAGTGAGAAGTCGTTTATAGAACGTTATTATCAAATTTATAATGTACGATAATTTGTACTGAAAAACGATAATTTAAGCCTCTCTGTACGATATTGTGGGATTTTGGATCTGGCAACACTGGCAGCCGGCGTCTTCTACACTCTCTGCCTGAAACGCATGAGTGAAGATGGACATAAGGACGTTTTTTAGACAAAAAGTACAACGACAGAACCCCAGCTTTGATGAGACTGGTGTTGACTCAAGTTTGTGAGTCTTATTTGAAAATATTTGTTGTGCTGCTGGTTTGCCTAAAGTTAGCTTATCAGATAAGGTTGTTGGAGAAAGAAAGGGAATATTTACTATCATCTCACACTAAACACTAACAGGAACAATATTCTGCCCTGAATATGCTTAATATGTAGCTTCAGATTGAAAATTATGTGGTACAAGAGTCAAAACAAATATATATGATGTTGACTAGTGCGTGTCATGTGTGTGCGTGTGCGTACGTGCGTCTGCGTGAGCGTGCATGTGTGTGTGTGTGTGTGTGTGTGTGTGTGTGTGTGTGTTAAGCCCCGGATCTTCTTCAGTCCTAAATCCACCCCTGAACAACATTAATAATGCAAGTACTAACAGAAAAATAATGAAGACAAATATAAGCATGAAATAATTGCATGAATTCAATCACATATCTGAAAAGTTAGGCCTTTTGCTGAAAAATATGATAGAATATAAATTTTTACAAGAGCTTATTACAGTCAATGCAAAGAAAAAAAGAGGAAGGTTATAGAAAAAAGCCAAAAAGTTGAGAAAAATGTCAAGAGTGGTGTTTCCTGAATAACCAAAAACGTCAAAACAATTGTAGCTACAGTTTCTGAATATTGTCTCGTCTCGTCTCTCGTCTTCCTCCGCTTATCCGGGTCCGGGTCGCGGGGGCAGCATCCCAACTAGGGAGCTCCAGGCCGTCCTCTCCCCGGCCTTGTCCACCAGCTCCTCCGGCAGGACCCCAAGGCGTTCCCGGACCAGATTGGAGATGTAACCTCTCCAACGTGTCCTGGGTCGACCCGGGGGCCTTCTGCCGGCAGGACATGCCCGAAACACCTCCCCGGGGAGGCGTCCAGGAGGCATCCTGACCAGATGCCCAAACCACCTCAACTGGCTCCTTTCGATCCGGAGGAGCAGCGGTTCTACTCCGAGTCCCTCCCGAATGTCCGAGCTCCTCACCCTATCTCTAAGGCTGAGCCCGGCCACCCTACGGAGGAAACTCATTTCGGCCGCTTGTATCCGCGATCTCGTTCTTTCGGTCATTACCCAAAGCTCATGACCATAGGTGAGGATTGGGACGTAGATCGACCGGTAAACCGAGAGCCTGGCTTTCTGGCTCAGCTCCCTCTTCCCCACGACAGATCGGCTCAGCGTCCGCATCACTGCAGACGCCGAACCAATCCGCCTGTCGATCTGAATATTGTTCTACATTAAAATAAAAGCTTCAGATGTCTGGAATTGTGCATTAGTGAAACTCCTGTAAAGTATTGAAGGGAGTTCTTTGAGTTGTAAAAACACCAAAAACTATTGATTTTCATTTTTCATGTTAAAAAGATTGATTTAATTCTCAACACCTCCTTGAAGTGAGATAAACAAACTATTTTAGCCTGTTTTGTTACACAGGAGAGTTTTGTTTTGCTTTTGGTTGAGAGAAAATTCTACAGTGACAGGAAAACAAAACCTTTGACAATTCCAAATGGAACTGGAGTTTCTTGCATCAACGTGTAACGTATTCTCCTCCCCTTGTCTGTGAGAAAAGGTTAGGCCCTATTGTGTTAGCCCAGCACCTTTCAGAGAGTTTTTGATCACATGCATGAAGGTGAAGCAGAATGAAACTGTCTTGGGATTAAGTTCTAAGATGCATTGTAGGTGATGGAAAGGTGAGACCAGAGGCCTCCTCCTCCTCCTCTTCAACGTAAAATCTTTCCTGTTTGACATAGAAGGCTTTGTTCACTCGTCCCTCAAATGTTCAGAAAAATGTTATTTTCTCTAAAAATATATTGGAAAGAATAGTAAGCATCCATGGTGCTTACAGGAAATTTTGCAGCACTTCACACAAACATTTCCTCTAGGTTGAGTTTTCCCTGAAAATTTCTATCTAGCTAACACTGAACAATGTATTCAGTGGAATTCCCACCAGAAAATGTTGAATTAATGATCTTAAACTGCATCTGCTTTTATCTAAAACCTACATGCAACCATCAAGGTAAAATGTGTTTTGCTACACTGAGTAGAAACTGAGATAGATGCTCATCATCATGGATTTCATTATCTAGACTTTTTCTTTGTTTATTGTCTAATAGATTTATTTCTGCTGTTTCCACATCTAGATCGAAAACCTTAAGAATGTTAATTGAGCATCGGTTCTGCTGTAGAGCAACAACATTTTATGATTTCATTGTTGATTTTATTTACAGAAACTGTTTAAACTGATCTCTGGGACAACATTTTCTTAATGATTATTTTGCCAAATAATAACAGCCATACCATTGTTCTATTTTATGATTTACATTTACTATTAACAATTTTTATGAATTTATTTTTATTGTGTAACGGCATGAAGGTTCTCTGATTTGTGCCAAAGGTCACATTTGCCTAGCTGGGTCAAACAGTACTTTGAATCCACAGATTAAACCCATGGAGCCACGATGTCTCCTCAAGATCATATCACCAGTATCTGCTGTTCCGTCCCAAGAAGGACACTTCAAGCCACGATGATAATAATTAAATAATAATTAATAAACTTATGATTTTATTACTGTTTAAAGAATCATTACAACATGATCACTTGGTTCAGATATACAGGTATTTTAATTACATGAAATGGATTATTATGCTTTGGGTATAATAATGATTAATTATAATGTTTAGAAAGATGTCTTCATCCAACACAGAGTTCAGATAAAAAATAACTGCATGACGTTTTTTGACGCATGAGCAAGCTTTCTTCCGGAGAGAGTGGGAGTGGTTCTGAGAGAGTTTGGTAAAAACTAACCATCACAGATTTCACGTCCAGTTCTGAACAAGACATCATCCTGAGGAGCCAGGGACGGCCGCCCTGACCTCTGCCTGCTGTTCTGTCACGCCGACAAGAATGGCTAAAGAACAAACAAAACTAACGAACTAATGAAAGACTCTCCCAGAGTCATTGATTTCTGAAGTTAAGACGATAACGTGCATCTGCCAAACGCTTCG